TATGAGAAACAGTCAAGCTCTTGGGGGGAGTGGGGGGAAGAAATCCAAGCAACTCTTAAACATCCGGTGAGCACCTCCTAAGTGCAAAGCATGAACAAAGCTCTCCGCCGGTGACAGCTGCCTCCAATGTGCCTTTCCAGGACAATTCTTTCACCCCTTTGATTACAAAGTGTCCGACCTGCACCCAGGCTCCGACCCCGCAAAGACAGACGCCACGATGGTGGTGAAGAACCAGCGGCTTACCGTCACCAGGTGGGCGGGCTGCTCTGCCCTTGATGTTACCTATCATTGGTCCAAGCCTCCCTCCTGGTGTTACATGGGTGGGCGGGCTTCCTGGGAGGTGAAGCTCTGCTGGGTCCTAAAGGTGACCCCAGCTGACCTGTCTCTGCCCAGGGGCTCGCAGAAAGACTACAGCAAGGACCCCCGGCATGGGGTGGAGGTGACCTGCTGGTTCGTCCACAACAATGGGGCCGGACTGATCGATGGTGTTCACACTGACTACATCGTCTCCGATATCTTCTGAGCCCCTTAGCCAGCATGCCTGCCCTGCCTTGGAGGAGGATGGCATCCTGACCTGTTGTCCAGACCACACCTCCCTGTTCAAGGGGGTCCCCTGTGTCAGAGCATCCATGACCTCCATTAAAGATAGACTATGCCTCTTCCAGGCTGCCTGCTCTTTGGAAGGGACGGTGGCAGGGAGGCAATTCAAGATGCTGCCCCTCAGAAGGGCTCAGGGGTCACAGCAGAACGGGAGGCTGGGAGGTCACCCACATCCTCCGCCTGCACCCCATTCTGTTCTCCCCTGCCGCCTGCCCCCTGCCCTCAGCCCTCTGAATGCCCTGAGAGTACCCCACAGCTCCTGCCACAGGTTCAGGGACCAAAGGACACTCTGGCAGCATGCACAGAAATGACCAGCCACAGCCACTCCTGACTCAGTGCTTCCTGTAGCCTGGCACTGGTCTAAGTGCCTTCGTTGAACGAGCTCAATGCATGCTCCCAGCAGCACGAGGGGGGACTTTTCTCAGGCTCCTTGATAGCTAAGGAAACTGAGGTGAGGCAATTTGTCCAAAATCACTCATCTTCTAAGTGTCAGAGCTTGGATTCGAACCGTGCTGCCTGGCATCAGCATCTGAGTGCTTTACTACTGGCATATCAACACTCCAGTCTGGTGGGAGATTGCTAGCCACAGCCTTGTGGGATTTGACTCTAGAAATTCCAAGGCATCACTTAAAATGAACGTATGAAAGAAATGCTACCAGTAGTCTCCTCAGGGTCTCAGGAGACAGTTCCTGCCCCCACCCTTTGCTCCATTCCTCCCTGGGGGGTTTGCAACCTCTGACAGCGAGACAGTATTTCCCAAAGGCAGAGGCGGCCACTGCTCAGAAGCTGGGGTTTCAGGGGCCAGGAACAGCAGCTCTCTGGCTCCTAGACTGATTCCTAGAATATTCCACCAGGGTCCTGCCTTTCCATGACATTGCCTTGGGCCCAGCTAAAGCCCAATGTCCAAGGGTGCAGGTGCAGGGATCAAGGTGAACCTACACCTCAGGATGCTGCCGGCCCTTCAGGTGAACAAGGACAGGCCCCCACTCACTCCTTTCCAAAGGGTTTCTGCTCTTTCTCTGTTCAGTTCCCACTCCAACTGAGGCCCACATCAACAATACCAACGCCGAGTTCCACGGCTGCTCCAGCCCAGGGAACACAGAGCCCTCCATGGCAGGTGGCGGGGCGGCCGATGGAGTTCCAGAGACCAATCAGTTGTCTGGAGTGTCCCGGGCTTCTCCAGGGAGAGCCGTGAGCTGGGGTCACTCTGAGCAAGGCTCTGCCCAATTGGGGCCTCATTTGCCCGTCCTGTAGAAAGGAAATGGGTGAGTCTCAGGGTCTCTTAGATTCTATCTGAATCTAAATTCTGCATGATTAATTCTTAGGTCCCTCCAAGTCCCCAGCTGTCCCTCAGGAGCCTCTTGAGCAACCTCAAATTGCTATTTCAAGTTGTCCCTTCCACAAAACGCAAAGTATTTGGGGATGAGGTGGTTTCTCGCTCTGTTTCTCTGATCCTAGAAGTCACCTCTCTCTGCACATCTCACAGTCAGGGGCAGAAACTTCAGCCAAGGCCATGGTACAATCCATAAATAAGCTTCCCTGTGCCCAGGCATCCTTGTCAACTCCATTAAGAGTGGATAGAGCCGAAACTGGTTTGGCTCAGTGGTAGAGCATCGGTCTGTGGACTGAAGGGTCCCAGGTTTGATTCCGGTCAAGGGCATGTACGTTGGTTGCAGGCACATCTTCGGTAGGGGGTGTGCAGGAGGCAGCTGGTCGACGATTCTCTCTCATCGATGTTTCTAACTCTTTATCCCTCTTCCTTCCTCTCTGTAAAAAATCAATAAAAATATATTAAAAAAAAAAAAAAAAAAAGAGTGGCTGAGTGGGCTCGGCCAGTGTGGCTTAATGGTTGAGCTTTGACCAATGAATCAGGAGGTCACGGTTCGATTCCCGGTCTGGGCACATGCCAGGCTTGCAGGCTCAATCCCCAGTAGGGAGCATGTAGGAGGCAGTCGATCAATGATTCTCTCACTCATCATTGATATTTCTATCTCTCCCTTCCTCTCTAAATCAATAAAAATATATTAAAGGGGAAAAAAAAAACAGAGAGAGTGGTTAAGTGGGAGGGTTTCCTGGGTCACTTTGCTCATAGCTGCCACTCTGGAAGGTCCAGCGGCTGCCAGGGCCCGGGTGAGGCCTAGGAGTCTCCTTGACCACTAGAAGGGGACCAGACCCTGCCTCCAAAGCCTCCAGCCTCACTGGACACTGCTGGAAAATGACTCTCTCTCTTTTTTTAATCATTGCCTGAGGGCATTTTTTCAGTGATCTTCAGAGAGAGAAAAAGGGAGAGCAGGATACATTGATCTGTTCTCTCCTGCACGCGCCCCAACTGATCAAATCCAAAACACAGGTATGTGCCCTGACCAGGAGCGAACCTACAATCTGTTGGTGTATGGATGATGCTCCAATCAACTGAGCGCCCCTGCTAGCGGTGCGGGTAAGAGGCCACAAGGCTGAGAGATTTAGGACTCCACACCTTGTCACCATTGTCCCCGCCCAGAGAGGCCCAGGGCTCCTCTGCCAGCACACAGCTTCCGCTTACACCAGGACTCCATGTCCCCCAGCCGCTGGGAGTGAAGTTCAAATACTGTTGACAATACCCATGGGGCCCCTTTGGCTCAGGCAAATACAAGCCCTGTTACTCCATCCACACGCTGGCTTCCCGGACAGACTCCGCCTCCCGCTCCACCCGCACTGCTGGAGGCCACTGACCCCACCGGTCAGCTGGCTCATATAAAGACCATGGGCCAGGCCTGCGAGCTCAGCGATGGCGAGCTCAGTGATGGCGTCTGCTCGGTGGCTCTGCCTCCTCGTGGCCCTGCTCTCCAGCTCCGTGGCCTTTGGCTTCCCAAGAAGCCCCTCCCGGCCACGTGAGGTAAGTCTGTCCTCAAGTGGATGGGGTCATGAGCTGCAGGGGACAGGGCTGGGATTTGGGAGGACTGGGCTCCAAACTTACCCTTTGATTCTGGGCAAGGCTCTGAAATCTCCCTGGGCCTGTTTCCCCACCTGTCAAATGGGTGATACACCACGAACTGCTCACCTCACTGAGCAGCTGTGCAGGTCCACCTCTGAGAAAAGGGCAGAGGCGCCTAGGAAGGGCTGGGCTGAGCCTGTGCTGTGCAGTGGTGCGGGCGCTCTGACAGGAGGCCACATGGACCCGGGTGCAGGGACAGGCAGTGAGCCGAGGTCTGTGCAGCAGGGAAAAAGCCCTGTCCTCTCCATTTGGTAGCCTGAGACCTGCTCTCTCCAGATCTCAGTTTCCCTGTCTATTCAGAGCCCTTCCTCCTCTGACCAGTGGCTCCAGGTGGGCCCTACATCCAGAGGCCCATCAAGGGGTATGTGGGGGTCACCAATGAACCCTGGCATCTGCCAACATCCTGCCCCCCATTCACAGTGGCCTTGGCCTTGACCTGACAGTATGTTTCTCTTTGCTTTTCCAGAAACGCAGCGTTGTGGAAGAGGTGAGGACTTTCCCCAGAGAGGGGGCATGGGAGGGGGGCAGGGTGGAGCTGGTTGCCCAACAGCTAAAGAGTTGGGCCATAGCACAACCCTGCACAGCTGACACACAGCTCACAGCCCCTACCCTGGCAGACCCCCCAGGAAAGAGTGCCACAGAACCATGCCCCCTGACCTCTCCAGATGCAGCCCAGGATGGCCAGAGCACCGTCCTTCCTTCTACAAACACCAAGTGGTTGCTGGTATGGGGCTGGGCAGTGAAAAGCCCTGTGACACCTTCACGGAGCATCTTCATATCCACATTTACCCAGACGTCTCCCTAGAGTGGCGGTTCTCAACCTCTGGGTCTGACCCCTTTGGGGATCGAGTGACCCTTTCACAGGGGTCGCCTAAGACCATCAGAAAACACAGATATTTACACCAGGATCATAACAGTAGCAAAATTAGATTTATGAAGTAGCAATGAAAATAGTTTTATGGTTGGGGGTCACCACAACATGAGGAATTGTATTAAAAGGTTGCAGCGTGAGGAAGGTTGAGAACCACTGCCCTAGAGACCTTGCTCAGTTCACCCTCTACCCGCAGGAGAAAGAGAATACTGGGGCATGAAGTCCTGCCCCACACTCTCTTGTCAGCACAAGAAAAAAATGCCCATTTGGGAGGTAGAATCACCCAACTACCAAAAGGCACAGTAGGAGGGAGAGGGCGAGCTTTCTCAATGGCAGTGTGAAAGGTGAGCAGGAAGAACTGGGACAGGTCTCTGACCGCCGGGGTCAGAGGGGCAGAGACCCGGCTTGGCTGGAGCCGCAGAGTGGAGGTGACAGGATCCACCTGGAGGACCTCAGAGCAGGGGGAACACTGTCCTGAGGGCAAAGGGGAGCACCTGGGGGCGGGGGCGGAGGGGTGGTTACAAGGGAGGGAATAGGGTCAGGTTTGTTTTTTACAAGATCTCACTGGCTACAGGCTGCATGGAAACAGATTACAGGGTTAAGGAGGCCATGTGTAACCCAGACATCGCCATAGAGCTGTCCTCCGTTCACCCTCCCTGCCTCCTGGCTTGCTCCCTCCCCTCGCCCTCTCTTTTTGGCATAATGTGAAGTTCCTCTCATGGTGCAAAATTCCCCTTCCTAAGTGACTTCTTGCTGCTGAGCAATGAGGTAGGCTGAGCTAAGGAACCTGTGGGGCCCCGTGAACAGGGAGAAACAAAGGCTGAATCAGACAAGGCCTCTGCCCTCCAAGAAGGCCCTGATCCTCGAGGGGAGAAAGTGCTCAGGAAGGCCAGCCCATGCCCGGGCCACCGGGACTGCCCAGGCGCCTGTCATCAGGACAGTGGTGGCCAGCTGGACAGGGGGATGGAGGAGGCCACGGGGCTACCATCACGGTTGACTGGGAAGCTTTGCAGGCAGGGCCTTTGGAATCTGTAAAGGGAGTTTGAAAGGGGAGTGGCCAGGTTGAGGACCTCCTTTCTAGGGCCCTGGTTGGCAGGTCACCACTGATCACCATCCCCTCTCCCACAGAAGGCTGGCGATATTGAGGTCTACAGTACCAAGGTCAGCTGCAAGGTGACCTCCCGCTTTTCTCACAATGTTGTCACCACGAGTGCCGTCAACCGGGCAGATGCCGCCAAGGAGGTTTTCTTTGACGTGGAGCTGCCCAAGACCGCTTTCATCACCAACTTCACATTGTGGGTGTCCCCGTGGCTGCTGGCTCTGGGCTCTGGATGGGGATTCTGGCCCAGCATGAACCCCGCAACTCTTTCCCTGCAGGACCATCGATGGTGTTACCTATCCTGGTAATGTCAAGGAGAAGGAAGTCGCCAAGAAGCAGTATGAAAAGGCTGTGTCCCAGGGCAAGACAGCTGGTTTGGTCAAGTAAGTTCGGAGCCTCAGGCCTTGGGGAGAATGTCTGGTCTGTAAGGAATGCAAACAAAAACAGTAGCAATCCTTCCTCCTCCTCCTCCTCCTCCTCCTCCTCCTCCTCCTCCTCCTCCTCCTTCTCTTCCTCCTCCTTCAACTTCTCCTCCTCCTTCTTCAACTTCTCCTTCTCCTCCTCCTTCTTCTTTTTCTTTTTATTGCAAAACATGTCTGTAATTCTTACAAGGTTATCCCAGTATGATGTTGAAGCTTAGAGTGAGTAGTGTCTCCCTCAAGGGGCTGACTTGAACCCAAGGCTCAGGATGGGTGGGGTTGTGCAGTCTGTGGGGCAGTCGCTGTCTTGCACCCCATTCAGGGCCTCTGGGCGGAAGTTGGAGAAATTCACGGTGTCAGTCAATGTGGCTGCGGGCAGCAATGTCACGTTTGAGCTAACCTACGAAGAGCTGCTGAAGAGGAACAAGGGCAAATACGAGATGTATCTTAAGGTCAAGCCCAAACAACTGGTCAAGGACTTTGAGGTAATCAAACACCTCTGCAGGCCCTGCTGAAACTGTGGGCACAGGATGGGAGGTTGGGAAAGGGCGCCTGGGGCAGACCTCGGAGCAAGGTCAAAGTCACAGAAGTCCAAGTCTTGGTTGAGGAAGCTTGGGGGAATTACAATGGCTCTGGCCAAAGCAACTGGGCCAAGGGGAGGAGGAGGCTGGGCTGGACTCACCCAGATCTTTGGATGCTGAGCCCTTGGGCAACATCACGAAATGCCTCTGTATAGCTCGTAACTGGTTATAATGGTGCTCTACCTACATGAGATCTGAAATGATTTCATGGTGGAAATTGGACACCATCTGGCAGGCCATTGGTGAGCTTTGGGGTTATAGTACCATTCCTAGGCTCTTTGGGTCATTTTCTTGGTGGGAGACATCAGGTATGGCTGTCACAGAGTTGTGCTAGAAGCTGGTCCCTGCATCATCCCTGACCCATCTCTGTGGGCCCTGTCCTAGAGGTTGGCATCTGTATGGTCACTGAGTAACATCGCCTTACCTTTGCACATTGCAGATCCTGGTAGACATCTTTGAGCCCCAGGGCATTAGCATGCTGGATGCTGAGGCCTCATTCATCACTAATGACCTCCTGGAAAGCGCCCTCACCAAGTCCTTTTCAGGGAAAAAGGTGGTATAGATGTTTCTTAGGCGTGGGGGGCAGGGACAGGAACTGAGACCCTACCAGGACCAGTCTGAGCCCTAGGGCTTGGCTGATGATAATGAACGTGTGTCTATCTGCTGCCTCACTGTCTCCCTGGCCACCTGGGTCAGGAGTGGGGATGCTGGAAGTGGGGGGTGGGGGTGAGGGGCGAAGACTTTTTGCTGAAGACCACCTGTTGGGGGAACTAACATGCCCCAGCAGCCCTTCCTCAGCCCCTCATCCTGTCTCCCAGTTTCAGAGGGCCAGTAGGGGTGCTTCATTACCCCAAAGTGTTTGTGCTGGAACTGGTATTTGCGTGTGGGGGCGGGACCTCTTATAAAGCCCAGTCTCATTCTCCCTTGGGAGGTAAGCAGGAGAGGTTACTGCCCCTGTTTTACAGATAAAGAGACTGAGGCCAGAGGCAGTCAGTTAGATCTGCTGACTCCACATTGAGGGGAGTGGAAGTTGAATGGGAACTTTATTCTCGGTGCTAATGGTTGACTCTGATCCCCAAGGCTCCTACTATTCCAGGGTCTTGCTGACCATGGGCTGTGGATGCATGTATGGAGCACACACTCAGAGGGCTGCTGGCTTCTTCAGGGATGGGCCCTCTTCCTCCTCCCTGCTTTGCTTACTCCACCTCACTCCTCTTGACACCAACCCATACCACTCAACATGAAGTTCCTTTCCACGTTGCAAAGCTCCCCTCCGTAAGGGGCTTCTCAGTGCTGACAGCCTAGTAGGCTGAACACAGCGACTTAGCTGCACGGGGAAAGACAAAGGCTGAGTCAGATAAGCGGGCCACTGTCCGCCAAGTTGCCCCTGCTCTCCGAGGAGAGAGAAGTGCTCAGGAAGTCCAGTGTATGCTGTGCGGTGGCAGGACTCCCGGGTGCCCACCCCGGGCTTCTCCCTGTGAGGGCTATTCCTCGGCCCCCAAGGCACCCATGGGCCGAGGGCTGCAGTGGGCAGTGCCTGGACAAGCTGAGCAACATCCTCCATCTCCCTCCTTCAGGGCCATGTGTCCTTCAAGCCCAGCTTGGACCAACAGCGTTCATGCCCAACCTGTGGAGAAACCCTCCTCAACGGAGACTTCATCATAACCTACGATGTGAACAGAGAGACTCCAGCCAACGTGCAGGTACTTCCCTACGGGCTTCATCAGGCTGGTGGATTGCGCGTCACAGTAGAGTGAGGGCTGGTGCGGGAGGGGCCGCGGCTGCACCCGCCTGGATATTTGGTCCAAGGTCAAGAATCCTGCAGGGCATGGGGGAGGCAGGCAGCCCAGAACTTGTGTGGCAGACTTACCCAAAACGGACACCTTCTTCTCGCCCTGCTAAATGTCAGCTTTTATTTGCAAGAGAAGCCACCGTGTAGTTGCTTCATGGACCTGACCACCAGTCTCTCTCCCCTTTGCAGATAGTCAATGGCTACTTTGTGCACTTCTTTGCACCTCAAGGCCTTCCTGTGGTGCCTAAGAATGTGGTCTTCGTGATTGATGTCAGCGGCTCCATGTCCGGCCAGAAAATAAAGCAGGTACAGTCTTCTGTGCAAGTGGGGGTGAGGGTGAGGGTATATATTAATAATAAAAAAAAAACCCCACCTTACCTGAGGATATGTTTCCAGATTTATAGAGAGAGGGGAAGTCAGGGGGAGAGAAACATGGAGAGAGAGGAGAGGGGAGCACTAAATGCATCACTTGTGATTTTCCTACGATGTGAACAGAGAGAGAAACGTAAATCATTAGTTTCCTGTAGGTTGAACCTTCAACCTAGGTATGTGCCCTCACCATAAATAAAACCTGCAGCCTCTTGGGATACGGGGCACCACTCCAAGCAACGAAGCCACCCAGTCTGGGCCACAGTTTTCTTCTTCCTTTTTTTAAGAATTGGACAAAGCTGAAGTTTCCAGTAAAAGAGGGGGAAGGAGAATAGGATAAAAAAAGGCAGAAATGCCCACCCCTATTGTTGCAGGCCGCAGGGGCCCCGCTGCCAGCCCTGGCTGTGAAGACACCAGGCTGTCTGTGGCTCCCTCTCCCAGCTTCTTGTCTGCCTGTCTTTCTCTTTCACAGACCAAGGATGCCCTCCTCAAAATCCTGGAGGATATAAAAGAGGAGGACTACCTGAACTTCATCCTGTTTTCTCATGATGTGACCACTTGGAAAGACACTTTGGTTCAAGCCACTCCTGAGAACATCCAGGAGGCCAGGGAGTTTGTGAAGAACATTGCACTTCGAGGATGTAAGAACAGAGGGGAGAGCAATGTTCTCACTGCCCCTCTCTCTGTCTGAGCAGCCTGTTCCCTCCTCCCTGGGGCACAGGCTTGCAGACCAGGACGGCAGACCCTGTTGGGGGTAGAGGTGGGAGTAGAGTAGGGTCCTCACACTTGATCTCAGGGTCTAAGAAAACCCATCTTCCTGTTTCTATCCCTTGAAGCTGGTGAACACAACTCCCAGCAAGATAAGGCCACAGAGAGCCTTCACTGTTGGTCGTTTCTTACGGAAAATCACAAGTGATGCATTTAGTGCTCCCTCTCCTCCCAGTGAAAAGCCGGGAGTCCACCTGACTCTTTCCCAAATTGTTTCTACCATCACCATGTGCTTCTATCCCTACAGCAACCCTGAGAGGCAGGTTTTACCCCCATCTGAAAGGGTCATCCATTCATTCTTCACTCACGAAGCAGTATTTACTGAGTACCACCACGTACTGGCAGACAGAGTCCTTGGGCACAGGAGCAGGGCCAAAAGTTCCAAGCCCCTCCTCTGTGGTGGTCCCCTGAGGGCCCATTCCCATGGAGCTTTCTGTGTGACAGACACCAACATCAATGACGGGCTGATGATAGCCATCAACATGCTGAACAAGGCCCGGGAGGAGCACACAGTGCCGGAGAGGAGCACTTCCACTGTCATCATGCTGACTGACGGGGAACCCAATGTTGGTGAGGCAGGCGGCCGTGGCTCTAAATCAGAATCCCAGTACCTGGCTGTCACTCCTGGCTCTGTAGCCTGCTTGTTGCAAGACCTTGGGCACCTCTCCCCAGGGCTCCTGCGGACTGTGAGCCCCTAGGGGTCAGGGAGCTGCCTTCCCTGGTCAGGGCTGCCCACCCTCTGGCCTGACAAAGTCTCCTGGCCATGACACCACCCGCGCTGCACAGGCAGGAATCTGATCTCTTCAGACAGAGCGGGTCCAGACAGTTGTCCGGGTGGTGGCTAGAGTGTGAACACCCCTCTATCCCGCAGGTGAGAGCAGACCCGATAAAATACAGGAGAACGTGCTGAGTGCCATTCAAGGCAAGTTCCCCTTATACACCCTGGGCTTTGGCAGAGATGTGAATTATAACTTCCTGGAAAGCTTGGCCCTGGAGAATGACGGTTTTGCCCGGCGCATTTATGAGGATTCCGATGCCACCTTGCAGCTGCAGGTATGCCTTGTCTTGCACCCCTCCAGGAATGAGGGGCTCGCTCCTTCCTCAGGGAGCTATGCCCTCAGGTATCATTTTAATAATTAGAAAGCACTTCCTCTTAAGTTGAAATCTACCTCTGGTTCTTACCCATCATTAATGGTTCTAGTGTGGTCCTCTGGCTGCAGAGAAGAGGTTCCTCCACAGGATTGCCAGAGCAACGATAGGACATCGGTTAAATATGAATTTCTGGGAGGGAGAAAAAAAAAAGTCCTTTTGTAGTGTAAGTGTGCCCTGAAGATTGCATAGGACACTGCATTAGTTTGGGGGCTGCCAGGACAATGTGCTACAAACAGAGAGGCTTACAGCAGGAATGTGCTGCCCACACAGTTTTGGAGGCTAGAAGTCCAGGATGAAGTTGTCGGCAGGGTTGGTCCCTCTGAGGGCCCCGAGGGGGGATCTGCCAGGCCTCTCTCCATGGCTTCTCATGGCTCTTCACATCCTCTCCCCTGTGTGTGTCTGTCCCCTTTTCAATAAGGACACCAGTCACATTGGATTGGGGCCCATCCCAAAGTCCTCATTTTGAATTAGTTACCTCTGTAATGACCCTGTCGCCAAACAAGGCCACTTCTTGAGGGACTGAGGGTAAGGAATTTAACTACATATTTTGGGTATTTTGGAGGTACACAATTCAGCCCACAATGGACATACTTATAACAAAAATTAACGTCTTGTTTATCTGACATTCCAATTTAACTGTATTTCATTCACTAAACCTGGCAATCCCCACTCTTCCCGGCCCAGGTGCTGGTCCACCTCCTCTGTGGACCCCTGAGCCTCCATCCCACCTGCTCCCCCTCACACCTTCTCTATCCAGCCTCGCCTCCTGTCCTTCTCTCTTCCTTCCCTTCATGCCACCAAACATTTCTTGAGTGCTTCCTGAGTGCAAGAACGCTTGTATTTTTCTGGGTGCGAGGGGTGGGGTGGGCTGAGGAGGGGGAGGCAGAGGGGCTCCCACACATTGAAGGGCACAGCCAGGGCCACGTAGAAGTGGAGATCAGGCCAGGCCCGGCCCAGCCTGTGGGACTCAACAGCCTTTGGAGGCACCAGTGAGAACCCTCCCACACTCCTCGCCGTGCCCGCCTGCCCTGGTGGCCTGAGGTAACCAGGTCCCCTCTCTGGACTCCAGGGCTTCTATGAGGAGGTGGCCAACCCGCTGCTGACGGGAGTGGAGGTCGAGTACCCTGAGAACGCTATCCTGGACCTGACCCGCAACACTTACCAGCACTTCTACGATGGCTCTGAGATCGTGGTGGCTGGGCGCCTGGTGGACAAGGACATGAACAACTTTAAGGCAGATGTGAAGGGCCACGGGGTAAGCTGGGCTGGGCCTAATATGGGCTGGGAATGGGGGAATCAAGCAACGATGGAGCCTGTGTCTATGGGCTGATGGTCTAGCAGTGGCCATCCCTGAACCGGGCCACCTGGCTTCAAACCTCCATTCCTTATGCCTCTCACCTTCTCCCATCCCTGCCCCAGGCGCTCACTGACCTGACCTTCACAGAGGAGGTGGACTTGAAGGAGATGGAGAAGGCCCTGCAGGAGCAGGACTACATTTTCGGGAGCTACATTGAGCGGCTCTGGGCCTACCTCACCATTGAGCAGCTGCTGGACAAACGGTGACTCAGAACCATCCCTCACAGAGCTGGGTCCCACTCTGGGCCCTGGCACTGCCCCATCATCTCCCTGTGCCTGACCCTGGCTGGCACTGCTCTGCGGGTTCCCAAGAGGAACATGACTGGTCCACACCTCAGGAACTACACCTCATGCACACGCCCAGCTGCCCTGCCCACATTTCTACCCAGTCCATCAGAATGTTTTCCAAGGCAGAGCCCAGCCTGACATCTGGGGGCAGCGATGGAGGGGCCAAGGCCGGGGGCGAGCCATCAGCAACCAGAGGGCAAAGCCGGGGCCCATTGGAGAAGCATGTCATCTCCTTTAAGGAGGGACTGGCCTGTGAAGCCCCTGGTGCAGGGCCTGGCACCTGATGAGCACTCCCCAGGAGTGACTGTGGCGGTGGCCATTGCAAGTCTCTTATATTTTATATCTGGGGAAACGGAGGCCCCCTCAGAGAGGAAGCACAGCCTGTCCATCTGTCTCAGGGAGCTGGTGAACCAGGTTTTTCTGAGTACTAACAGGCTCCGCCATGGGCAGAGGGGGTCCTGGGCAGTCGCTGGGGCTCCTGGCCTGGTAATGGTCGTCAGAGCAGGGAAGATGGGCAGGGAGCTGAGCTCTGAGCTGACCCTGTCTCCACGCCCCTCTCTACAGCAAGAACGCCCATGGAAGTGAGAAAGAGAACCTCACAGCCCAGGCCCTGGAACTATCCCTCAAGTACCACTTTGTGACCCCGCTGACTTCCATGGTGGTGACCAAGCCTGAGGACAGTGACAACCAGATGGATATTGCTGACAAGCCTGGGGAAGGTGGGCATGGGGAGTGAAGGCCAGAACTTGGAGGCCTTCTTCTAGGGCCGGGCCTTGGGTGTCCTGAGAGCAGTGGGCCAGGCTGGGGAGACCCAGCCACACTGAAGAGGAGCAGGCCCCAGGGCACTGAAGGAAAACTGGCCAAGTGCTGGGGAGTGTGTTTGGAGGGGGTGAAGCCATCAGCGGGGACCGTGGGGGGTGGGGTGACGACAAACCTCTGAGTCTCTAAAGGGATATGAAGTCAGGAGTGAGTACCCTGCCCAGGGTCACTTCCGGGAGAGGGACTTAGGCTGCAACATGGAAGGGCTCAGTTAGACAGGAAGAAGTACTCCCAGCCTTAAAGCTAGGCCACGAGCATGCGACGAGAGTCAGAGGCTCTGAGATCTGGAGGCTGGGACCAGGCTGGGCTCACCATACCCGAAGAGGGCATCCCTTGAGTATCCCTACAGCTGGACACACAGGCTGGAGTGTGGGCACTGGGGGACATGGGAGGCAAAGAGATAGTCCAGGCCAGGCCAAGAGCTCCTGGTTGCGGGAGCTCAGCTGGCTGCTGGGAGGCCCCCAGCATGGGGCAGCTTGGACAGGAAGCATATTGATCACATTGGCCCAGACCCCAGGAGTCTGTGTCTGCTAACACATTTCTCCCCTTCCCCCTCACAGGGCCTCAGGAATCAGGTGAGCTTCAGCCAGGAGCTGTGGGTGGGGGTCCTGGGAGGGAGATAGGAGAGAACCCAGGAGGCCTTTCCAAGCAGGCCTGGGCTCAGGTCCCAGCTCCGCTGCCCACTCATGAGCAACTTTGGGTCAAGATCTGAACGCCAGGTCCTTGTTCGTTGACTGGAGGTGGCTTACAGCACCCAGTGTGTCTTTCATCATAAAATTGGAGCCTCACCCCTCACTAGCCCATCACCACCAGGCAGAGCTACCCCAGCCCCTGCCTGCCTCACCTCCATCAATACAGGTTGTTCTATCCAGCTTTCCCCATAGAACAGCCCTGTCAAATGCACATCACTGGTGTGTATGTGCCTATGGTATGTGTGTGTGTGTGTGTGTGTGTGTGTGTGTGTTACTACCAAGGACAGCTGTAAGCCTCATCCCCCCCCCGACAAGGGATGGGCAGGAGTTGAAGAGTGGCAGACAGGATGTGCTGTGAGCTTTACTCAGGACAGAGAAGCTGGCCTTCTGATGGCTTGCATTTCAGCCATATCAGCGTGCCACGCCCTTGGCCTTAAAATCACACCCATATCGGCACCAGTCCTAGAAAGAAGTTCCTGGGCATGCCCCCATTTCTATAGCCTAAACTAAGGCTCACATCCCGCCCACTCACTGTCAGTGCTGGGGTTTCATTGTGCACCAATAGCCCCAAGAGAGGCGAAAGGCACAGGTGTTGGGAACAGGGCACCCCAGGCCTTCACTCACGACTGTCCTTTGGCTTCTTTTTTCAGTGTCCCCCGCCACGGCTTACATGAGTGAGTATACGCCTCGGCCACAGTCCCCTGCCCCAGCACAGCCCTGTGCGTGCCCCCTGGAATCTTCCTAAATCAGCTCCCTGGGGAGGCAGATGGTTGGATCCTGAGGAAATGGGGGTGGGTGGGTGTTGAGAGCATTAGGAAGCAGGAAGGGGTGGGGTATGAACCTAACTCTTGGGGGGGGGGGTTCTGGTGCCTCCCCAGGCCTGCTTGTTCAGTTCAGCCCTCTCTCCCTCTGTGTTCACAGCCAGCTACCAGCCTCCTTCTAATCCCTACTATTATGGTGAGTTCCCCGGCTCCTCTGGGAGCAAGGCTCAGGGCCCAGGGCCCAGTGCCTCCTGCCTGCCTAGGATTGCATCCCTCAGAGGCCAGAGGGTGAGGCCCAGCACCCAGCCCTCTCTCTGATGTGCCCTCAGTGGATGGAGACCCCCACTTCATCATCCAAGTCCGAGGGAATAAGGATGCCATCTGCTTCAACATTGATGAAGAACCAGGCACGGTGCTGCGCCTCATTCAAGACCCCATTACAGGTTGGAGCTGAAGGGTGGGGCTGGGGTCAGTGGACTTCCTGGGAAGGCCTGGAGTCCCCTGAGTGGGCATATGGACTAGGTTCTCACTCTGCCCACATTGGTCCCATCTCTCTATGTAGATTACACACTGGAAAGAGCTGTCCAGACCACAGACTAGCCAGGTTCCCCAGGGGCCAGTGTGTTGGGGAGAGGGTTAGAGTTAAGGACAGCATGGCCCTGCATGCAGGACTCAGCCTATAGCTGGGGAATAGTTTTTCTCTGAACAATAACAATTCCTCGCCTAGGCAAAGAGAAAGGTCTACATTGTGGGCCCTCAGCCACTAGAATGACCTAAGAGTGTGTAGGAACAGATGAGGTTAACTGTGAAGTTCTGGTCTCTTCTGGGGACCCCCACTCTGCCACCTTGCAGCAAGTGTGGCTGAGGCAGAAGGCATATCCTTTTTTTTTTTTTTTTTTAATATATTTTATTGATTTTGTACAGAGAGGAAGGGAGAGAGATAGAGAGTTAGAAACATCGATGAGAGAGAGTCATCGATCAGCTGCCTCTTGCACACCCCCTACTGGGGATATGCCCGCAACCAAGGTACATGCCCTTGACCGGAATCGAACCCGGGACCTTTCAGTCCCCAAGCCGACGCTCTATCCATTGAGCCAAACCAGTCTCGGCAGAAGGCATATCCTTAATGGCCAGCTGATTCCAAGATCTCCCTGGTCTCTTTCTGCTCCTTGTCCCTGGCAGGCTTAACAGTAAATGGGCAGATCATTGGTGACAAGGGAAACAGCTCAAACTCTAAGAACAGAAAGACTTACCTTGGCAAAGTGGGCATTGTCAATGCTCCGATGGACTTCCGGATTGAGGTGACCACAGAGAAGATTACTCAACAGAATGGGGCTGCACAGAGTACTTTCAGCTGGCTGGATACGGTCACGGTCACCTCAGAAAGGTAAGGCCCCATACAGGGACCCGATGGAAGGAGGCTTGAAGAATTTGCAGAAATCTGAGGACAGAAGACCCATACGGGGTTACAGGGAAGACTGGTGGCCTCGGAGTTCAGCCCCTGCCCTGGGGGAGGGTGACCATAGTAGAGCTGAGCCAATGCCTAGGGCCCCTGTGAGAACCAGAATTGGTAGCTGGAGAGTTCAAAGGGCTGACCTTGAGGGAAAGGCTACATAGACCCAAGGATCAGGTAGATGTGGCAATATGGTCATAGCAAGAATCCCAGTTGCATCTTCTCTGGCTGAATTTATTAATTCCCAAACTGCTCAGCCTCTCCTATGCCATTCGATTACCCAGAGCCTGGTAGGCAGGCAGGAGTGTTACTCCCACAGAGGCTCAGAGCCGGTGTAGAACCTGCCCAGGAAGCTAGCAGCTGAGCTGGGACTGGATCCCAGGCCTCTACATGCCCAGGAAACCACTTTCCTGCTTCTGGAGGAGCAAGGCTGCATTCAGTGGAGGCAGAGTCAGCATGCATGACCTGTCTTTCCTCCAGCAGCCCTGAGCTAGTGCCTGGCGTCTGTGTGTTCTCAGATGCCATGCACAGAGCAGGCTCTGCCAGGATGTCCTTGATTCAGATGCTGGTGTCATGGTCTCTGTGCCCCTGCTGTCCTCATCTGTTCCCCTAGGTTCTCCTTGAAGATCAACAGGGAGGCTCTGGTGGTCTCCTTTGGAGAAGGGATTACTTTTAAGGTGGTTCTGCACCAGGTGTGGAAGAAACAGGCCGTCCACCTGAACTATCTGGGCTTCTACGTGCTGGACAGTGACAAGATGTCAACAAAGTCACATGGGCTGCTGGGTACGGAATGTTGAAGCTTCAGGCTGTGCAGGGCAGAGGGAAAAACCATGAGCAAGGCTCTCCTAGTAACTCCATGCCCAGCACACAGTACCCCACTCATCCCTTGCCTTAACCCTGGAAGGCCAGTGGCCATGCTACCTGGGGCGATGGCAGGGCCTGACAGTGTAAATGTTTTTCTTCCCAGGACAATTCTTCCGCCCTCTTGCTTTTAAAGTGTCTGACTTCAACACAGACAATGACCACTCAAAGATACATGCCACCATGCTGGTGAAGAAACATCGGCTGGCAGTCACCAGGTGAGGGGCCCCATCTGACACCCTCACCCTGTCCACTACCAATCCAGGAGGAAAGAGCCCTCTCTGCCCACACACATTGGTCCAGCAGGCTTTGTCTTCTGTGGGGTGGGTGCCCGCATTTCCCTCTGAGGTCTTGACCCCCATTTGTCCCTTTCTCATCAGGGAAAGGCCACACTCAGCCCCTAGAAGTAGTAACTATGCTACCTCGTTCTTAGCTAAAGAATTATGCAGTTGGCAATGTCACACCCTTTTCCTACCTTGGTCCAAGGAGCATAGCAGCCATCTTGTCTACCCTGTGTATCACAGCATCTCTCTCCTTTCTCCAGGGGCTACCAGAAAGACTACAGGAAGGATGTCCATAATGGCACACATGTGAGCTGCTGGTTCATCCACAACAACGGCCAAGGGGTGATTGATGGGGTCCACAGTGACTACATTGTCCCTGACCTGTTCTGAGTAGCTGGCCCAGCTCGCCTGGCATCTGGAGCAAAGCGCAGAGCCAGGCGTGAGGGAGGGCTGTGACAATAGAGGACACAGTGGAAACCAGACCGCTGCCAGCCTGTGCATGCCTCTCTCGGCCCCTACTCTGGGGAACACCAGCCAGGACCTGAGGCAGCTCAAAGGAAGGACTGGCTGCTAGGAAGGCAGCTTCCTGGGCCTCCCCAGCAATGCTGCTGAAGGACAGGGCTGGTTGGTGTCACACTTTGGCAAGTCAAATGTATGATGAAAATGAAAATAAAAAATGGACTCTGGAGCAAAGAGTCTCTGAGTAGTTGGGAAGGGCTGAGCGCATTTCAGAGGCTAAAAGGTTCATGAGGAACGTCTGGTCCTTGCTCAGAAGCTCCTGTTGGGTCCTTCAGGCCTGGAGGTCCTACTGTGAGGACTCAGAAGCAGAGTCCTCCAGGGCTGGTACAGACTGCAGCGGATTGTAGATGCCATCTACCCACAGACCCGCCCACTGTCTGTCCATCCACCTATCTACCCATCCATCAATCCACCCATCCATCCATCCATGGATCTGCCCACTGTCCGTCCATCCATCCATCCATCCATCCATATATCCATCCATCCATCCACCCACCCACGTGCACATTGTCTATACTTCCATCCATCCATCCACCCACCCGTCCATCCATCCATGTACTACCCACCCATTTGTTCATCAGATGAAACCAGTATTCTGGGCTAGAATCTGGGGGCACACAGATTCCTGTTCCTATGTACACAGATACCTCAAATTTGCCTTCAGCTGGGCTGGGGATCCTTGGGATCTTCCAATCATACCCTACAAAGTCATGTGGGGGTCAGACAGTTCCTGGACCTAGGAGCTCTGAGAGCCTCGCCCACCTGAATAACTGTAACTGCCCCTTCCTGGGTCTCCCTGCTTCCAGAGGGAGCTTTCCAGAGCAGAACCAATCATTGCTCCCTGCCTACACCCTGTCAATGACATCTCCCACCCATTGCTCTTGAGATAAAGACAAAAGTCCTTCCTATGGCTTCTCAGATTCATCAACTCCATGAACCAGGCATCTCCCGTTAACTTTCTGTATTCCAGACACACAACTGCTTCTAGTTCTGCAAACACAAGCCCTCCTGCACCAAATCCTTTGCCTATGCTGCTCTCTCTGCCTTCAGGACTAAGAGCATGCTGGATTGAGAGTATCCCTTTGAAGGGAACAATGGGCAACTTTGCTTAATGGCACAGCAAGGGACACAATAAGGCCAGAGGAGGTTGGAGTCTGATTGGGAAAGATCATGAAGGCCAGTGGGGGTGGGGATGGGATCTGGTCATGGGCCACACAGAGGTTTTCCTACTTCCCACTCCAGGGCCTCTCTGGATTTCCTACAGACACCAGCCTGGGGTCCTAGAGAGGGTATTGGGGTGGCAGTCCAGGAGGAAACATTTATCAACAGAAAAGTCCTCCTCCCTCCAGGCATCTATGAATGGTAACTTGTGGAATGGCGCTGCTGCTACTCTAGGGAGAGGGCCACATGAGACACCACTCTAGAGTATACATGGCAGGTGTCCAGGCTCGGCTAGCAAAAAGGGCTCATCCTGGGAAAGGACATCCTAAAGTAGGCAAGCCCTTCCATGTCCTGCCACTCCAGCTGGCAGCCTAGCCTGGCAGGTAGGCAGAAAGGCAGAGGAGGCCCACAGCCCAAATGTGCCCCTTCCCCTCCCTCAACACAGTCAGGGAGGCCTCCTTACAGGCCAATTTCAGGCAGATCTGTCCTCATCCCAGTCCCTTGTCACTCTGGCTGGGCCTCTGATGGCTCCCTGGCTTTCAGGATGGAAATCATGCTCCACGGCAAGGTGCACCCAGCCTTGCTGGCCTGGCCCTGCTTCTCCACCTTTCCACCATCCTCCTCACCCCATTCTTCCCTTCTCCTACCCTGAACTCAACCCACGATGTCTTGGCTCTCGGCCCAGTGTCCTTGTCCTCCTTTTCTACTGGGCTGAGTTCTCTTCATTCATCAAAACTCAGCCCCAATCACGCCACAATCCTGGAAGCTTCCCAGATCCTCCCCAGGTAGAACAAGAGGACTCCCTCTGGGATCCTTGCAGCCCCTGGTTGTTCTTGGGTGGCATCTGTCACACAGGCACTGTCTGTCATGGTGCCCACAGCACTCTGCCCAGGGCCTGGCCCAAGGAGGTGCTGGAAAGCACTCAGTGAACAAAACAATGAAGGGCATGGGCCTACTTCCAATTGTTCACAGAAGACACCTGCCCTGCTGCTGGGCCAGAAAGTCACTCTGACTCCTCTGCTGTCGTACAACCCCCAAGCCCAGCCCAGCACAGCACAGCTCAGCCCAGGCAGAGGTGTTTCAGAGGGTGAGCTTGGTGTGGGCCCCGTCTCTCATCTTGGTAGGTGTGTCAGAGCTGGCCTCACAGCAAGTCCAACAGAGGCACCAAGGCAGCTCTCTCGTCTCACAGCAACAGCCTGAGACCCTTGCCAGCCAACCAGGCAGAGGGAGAGGCAGATGGAGTGTGGCTGTGCCTTTGGCAAACTTGCTGCTGGCTCCCACCTATGGGCCTCTCTTCTGACCCCTCTAGAGAGACTCACTCAGTCAACACCCTATAGAGCTCAAGAGCTGGGAAAAGGCTTTACCTGATGATCTGGTTTGCTTCCTCTTATCAAGCAAATAAACTCCTTTTCTGCTTTCCTCTGGCTGTGGGGAAGCTCAGAGCAAAGTTTTGTGCTGCAGCTTCAACACTAGGGTGTCCCCAACTGAAACCCCATCCCTACTCGGCTCTTGTCTTATTCTCATGGGCTTTGTTTAAAAAAAAAAAGTGTGTGTGTTTTTAAAATCCTCACCTAAGAATATGTTTTATCATTCATTTATTTATTTATTTAAGTATTTATTTATTTTTAGACAGAGAGGAAGAGAATGAGAAAGAGAAACATCGATGTCAGAGAGAAACATCAATGGGTTGCCTCCTGCGAGCACTCCAACTAGAGATCAAAGCCATAATGCAGGTATGTGCTCTTGACTGGGGACTGAACCTGCAACCTTTTGTGTACAGGGTGATGCTCCAAACAACTGAGCTACCTGGGCTATAAATGATGTTTAAGTACGCTCTGACTGTGCAGGAATTGGGGCATGGAGAGGAGAGGATTTAGAATTGGGCACCTGGTCACCTCCATGGAACAGACACTTCTCTCCTGGGATGAAGGCCTCATGTCTATTTCCTGTATTCCAGTGCTAGCTTCTTTCCAGGCGGAGAGCCCAGGTGTGAAAATCAAATTGCATCATGCAAGCCCCATTGGAAAGCTTGCTGAGAACTACCCAGTTCACTTTTGTAAATAGAGATAGGAAGAGTCAAATCTGGTATTCATGGTCCTGGCCGGTTTGACTCAGTGGACAGAGCATCAACCCAAGGACTAAAGGTCCTGGCTTAGATTCTGGTCAAAGGTATGTATCTTGATTGCAGGGTTGATCCCTGGCCTCAGTCAGGGCATGTGCAGGACACAACCAATCAATGTGTCTCTCTCACACTGATGTTTCTCTCTGTGTCTCTCCCCTTCCCTTCCACTCTCTCTAAAAATCAATGGAAACTTATCTTCGGGTGAGAATTAACAAATGAAATGACATGACATTTCATTTGTTTTCTGGACCTGGAGTGACATAATACACAAGTGGTTCAATCTCTAAATCTTAGTTTCCACCTTATGAAATGAAGGGAGTGGACCAAAAGCTCCTCAGGGACCTATTGGCCACAGGCCTTTGTGGGCTGATCATGGGAAGATTCTAATGTCACATGATGCTAAGTGTTCAGGGGGAGGTTCTACAGCCCTGGTGTTTGGCTGGATGGAATCAGAGACGCCCACTCCCTGATTTACACTACCTTCCTTTATTTGTAATAAGTGGCACTCCCCTCCCCAAAACGGCGAGACCCAACAGGGAGCTCTGGTCACAAGATGACAGCCATCTGCACACAGTGGGGTGGCAAGGGGGGAGGAGGGTGAATGGGTGGGTATAACTCCTGCCATCAGGACTATAGTTCGACACACCAGCAGGAAATCTCTGTTCCTGGGGTCCCCTCTTGGTAATCCACCTTGAGCTCTCTGGGATGGATAGAGAAGACAGACACATGGGTGGTTAGCAGGTGTGGTGGGAAGAGAGGGAGAGAGCTGGGGATGGGCAAGTGGAAGGTGGGGTTTCAGGGCCCCTTAGAATTCCCTCCAGCAGAGGCTGACAAGGTCCTGTCACCCAAGGGCACCCAGTTGTCGAGGTTTCAGGACTCTGCGACTTCAGGGAGTTTGCTAATGCCCCCAACTCACCCTTAGTAATCTCTGGCTGCGGTGTTTTCTGTGGGTCTGAGTTGACCATTTTTGTGGGTCACACTGAGGGCTGGGTCACACATGTCTAAAGCATCAACCTTTCACCTATCTCTAGATCCCAGGTACGGACAGGGGAGTGGAGGCCCCCAGGGACCAGCTCTCAGACTCCTAGTCCCAGCCCTGGCCTGTTTGCGTGAGTCACCTGGTGGCACTGTAGTCAAACCCATGAGTCCTCAGTGTTCGCTTGCTGTCATCTGTGGCATCTGGCGGCCCCCAGAGCACGCCCTGGTAAAAGCGGCCTGAGAGACAAAGAGTGGTCAGTGAGAGATGAAGACACGGGGGCTGAGAGACACACGGCACTGCCTGTGCCCAGGCAGAGGTGGATGGAGGATGCCCTGCGCCAGGGTCATGGGCAGCATACCAAGGGTCCCATCGACGTGGCTGGAGAAGCGGTCAGTGTCCCGCAGAAGCAGCCGAAGCCCCTGCCCAGGGCCGTCCCAGGACAGCAGGCCGATGGTCACTTTGTCTGGGCTGCTGAGCAGCAGGAGCCCTGCCTTGTCCATGGTCATCGTGAGGCTGTGGGGAAACCCAGGCTCCTGAGAGCAAGGTAGGCATGCAGACACCCTCAGGGGACCCTGGCCGGTGGGGTGGGGTGGGGTGGGGTGGGTGGGACAATCCCTGTTGTGGCCTTGGGTGGGAAGTCCATTACATATTCTGAGCCTCAGTTTTCTCCTCAGCATCTGGGACCAACGTTAACTTAATGATATCTTGTGATCCCAGCATTTCTACAACAAAATAACGGTTCCTTTTCCTCTCTTTTCTTAGATTTGGTTCCCCACAAATTCCTTTGATATGATTCCGGGGGTATCGGACATACTGTGCGAGAGCCACTTTCCCTTAATGATCAGTGTTTACTTGTATGTTTAACATGTACAAGGGCAAGTCTCTTCTGATTCTATCCCCTTCTTCTTTACTTGCAATAATCTCTGACAGGCTTACCTTTTTGGTTCTCTTAGGAATGTTAGGCTCCTTGGAGCAAGTTGAGTAAGACCCAGCTGGTACTCTGAGGTTACCTTAAAGGGACCTGCACTAAGTTTCCACTGTCGCCCGGAGACTCACTACAAGGTGTGGTTGATTTTCTGCACGGAGATCTTCTGTAGCTCGTGAAAGTATGTGGAGCCTGTCACTATGATTGAGAGGAGTTCTTTATTTCATCTTCTGCTGTGTATGAATTTGTCAGATAACAGGAAACTTTCTTTCATGAAATGGGGAGATTTTCAGGTGAGCCCTCAGGTTGGCCAGGTGCTCACTCACTTGTCAGGTGGGAACCAGTCTCTGTGTTCTCAGCACAGGCTGGGAGCAGGAGGGCAGTGCTCCCAGAGGGCCTGAGCATCGGCCCCACTCCCGTCCCCTCGTGACTTCTGCACCCAGAGAGCTGCCTCTGAAAGGCTCGATGGCCAAACAGCCCCGCCCAGGAAGGTCGCCATGCCCCTCCATGACTTGCCAGAGGTTGGGTGGACAGTCTCTCCTCCTCAGAGCATCAGGAGGATGCTAAGAGACTTTCCTAACCTCCCCCTGGTGCAGTGCCTTCCAACTCCTCACTGTTGTCATCATTCCCTCACCACGTAGACAGCTGCCCTGCGGCATGCCACGTGGGCACCACCCCTTCTAATGAGCAAAGTGCTCCCTGTCATCTTCCCTCATTGGGTCTCTGCTTAGCCTCTAACTCAGGCTTGGGGTGATTCTCATCAGGTATGAGTGAGGAAACTGAGGCTAAGAGGGTCTAAGCAGCCTGCCCAGGGTCACACACGATTAGCAGCAGTGTGGCTCCAACCCACATTGTCCCCTGCGCAGGAGAGTGCCCTAGGTTAGGTGTGAACATTCTAATGGAGAAGCCCACAACTGGTCCCCCTCAATGTGCCAGGCCACCCAGACCTGCATGTGTGGTGGCCAATGAAAGGTCTGTGGGGTGGATGTTTGAGTGTAAGGGTCAGTGCTCAAGGGCATGACCGTGGGTGAGCAGCCAGGTCCTGGGTGTCCCCCAGAGAAAAAGAGGTACGGGTCTGCCCAACAGGTGGAGGCAGCCAATGGCAGAGGACTCATGCCCTGCCCAAGCACTTCAACCCCAAGCCTGTGGCCTCAGGCCACCGGTCAGCACTGACACTAACGTAGCCTGAGACGTCACCGCTGGTACCCAGGCTGTGGCTTACCCAGGCATCACCACAAACAGCGTCTCCTTCCATTTGTACTCAGAGCTTCTTCGGCCCCTAGTCACGACCACATGCTCAGGGGACACGCGGACCTGCAGCTGGGGATTCTTGAAAGTCACCTTGATCCAGGAGAACTGGGCCTTCTGCATATTATACTCCGCAGTCACCTCGAGACCTGAGAGAGCCCAGAGCAGAGGTCAGAGGCATGGCCTGGCTGGGCACTGGCCTGCACAGGAGGCACTCTCTGATTATGTCCCCCACAACTGTCCTTCACCAGCCCCCTCCTCACTGCCCTGCCCCCAGCATTTCCTCACACTGGAGTCTGGTTTCCACAATCTTTTCTCTCATCCCTTGGTTGCATTTGACTATGGAAGGACCACAAATCCTCAGTGATGGACAGACAGGTTCAGATGAGCCCTCTGAGAAGGGAGATTGTGTCTGAATCCCGGAACCGTTAGAAAGCGCTGTAGAGTGCCTGGCCCTGAGCTAGGTGCCATGTCCGAGACGGAGTTGGAAAATCAGTGGTCCTTGCCCTCAAGGAGCAAAGAGACTTTAGGCCTGGTGTGTGGAAGTGGGAGACTGTGTGTGAGCATCCCTGAGTGCTGTATGTCCCCATGTCTGACGTGACACCTCAGCTCAACCAGTATGACCGTTCTTTCTGGTCAGCATCGCCCTCCTCTTGCCATTCCACTCCTCCACACTCTCTAAGGTCCCACTACTATCTTTCAGGGCTCTGGGCTTCTGCCAACCTCTGCCTCTCCCTAGAAAACCCCCGCTTGTCTGCCAAGACGCAGTCACTATTGTGTGATCCTGTGCAGCCTCATATGCCCCTCCCTCAGCCTGGCCTCCCCTTCTGGGCTTTTGCCTCTAGGTCGCTTTGGGCACTGCCTGCCTGCAGAGGGTTTCTCTGGAAGGTGACTGTTCAGGCCTCACCTTGGTCAGGGTCTGAGAGCAGGCGTAATGATGGCCCCGGGGTGCGCTTGATGTCCACGCAGACCTGGTCCACGCTCTGCCCCGGCAGAGGCAGGATGACGGTGGGAGCCTGGATGGGGGCTGGGGCAGCAGATGTGGTTGCTGGGGCAGGTAGAACAATCTGGAGAGCAGCGATGGGAAGGGGGGCAGAGGAAGGCAGGCAACTTACCTGGTTTTGGGGCTGTAGGGCTTGTTTCTGAAAGAAAAAGTCTTTGTTTAGGCATGCCCTTTCTCAAACTTGGGGGCCAGGCCAACAGAAGGATGGGATAGTGTATGGGTGTGGCCAGGGTTACTTTTCCACTTCAACATTGAGAAACCATGTAACAGGTTCCAAGAGATCCCCAGGGATCTCCCATCCCAGGGTCTCACTGCTCTTGGGCCATAGTCAACTTCAGGGGATCTGCTCTGGGGGCCTACCTTTCATTGTTTCATGCAGGTCATCATCCACTATAATAGGACAATCAGTGGAGAAAGAAGCCAGTACAGGAATGGCCAGAAATGGAAAGGAAGAAGGCCATCAGGATTCAGAGCAATCAGCTTCCCCTCCTCCAACCATCACTGCCACCTGCCGCCCCGCCAAGCTCCAACCTGGAACCCCTGCCCTCATACACCCAACCCAGGAGAGCACACTTTAGGAAAACACTGAGGAGACAGGGTCCAGCTGGAATTGTGGCTGGGTCTCAATCCAGCCTGGAGATCAGAAACAGATCATCGGGGCACTCATGGCTTTGGGAATGGTGGGAGCCTTCCCTTTCCAGAAGGTTCCATGCTGAGCCAGCCTCCAGAGTGTATTGGGTCTGGTTCAGTGAAATACGTGACACACTACTTCATGTCAAGCCCCACAGCAACTGTCTCTGGCCTGTGCCCAGCCTGTGCAGTTCCTTGCTCTCATTCAACTCTATAGGCAGGCTTACCTATCCCTTTGAGGGAATGATTCAAACAATGGCTTACCTATCCCGCGCATTGGGATCGGGTCCCGATGAATAAGATGGAATGGATGAGGATTAATACCAGTAAGACTCAATCCAGGTGGTCCCCCTCTCTTGTTGTTCAGGCCATAACGTTGAGCGTGCATGGAAACTCCTGCTTTAGGAACATTGACACCTGCAGTCTCTGCTCAAGCGGAGTCATGGGTCCTCACCGCCAGGGCTCTGGGACCCACCCCGGGAGATGGATGTAGAGAGGACAGATGGCTCCTTTCCCCACACCCACTACTCTGAGAGCCTCTCCTTCAGCCCGGAGAAACTCAAAGCTGGGAAGAGGAACCTTTCTTGAACTCCTCCCGCTGGGATATCAGTCATTTCAAACTACCTTGTCCCCTGAGGTTTCTTCTGTTGCTAACAAAACGTCCTGCATGGCTGTCTCCTAATCACACACACTGAACTGAGCCCCAGCCCAGCCACCAGCCAGGTGAGCCAAGCAAGCCACTCACCCAGACTCAGGGCAGAGCCCAGCCTGTGGCCAGGGTCCAGGTTCTGTCAGTCTCCCCTCCCACTACCTCCCCTGCTTTGATACCTGCTAATATGGGTCCCATGTGTCCCATGGCTCCATGTCTGAAGACAGTGCGACCTGGAAATCAGAGAGACCTGGGTGTGCATCCAGCTGGATGGGGACTGTGCCCCTAGCGCCCAGGACAGCCAATGTCTGAGCGAACAGGTGACTAAAGCACTAATGTGCTTGGGCAGACAGAGCCCCCTCCTGGTAGCAGGCTGGGCTGGAGAGGCCTTGGCCAGCAACTTTGTGAGACTGGGGTCCCAGGTCCTGATACAGCCACCCATCACCAATGCCAGCCTTTGTAGGTATTAGGCCCTTACCTGAGGGAAGCTTTTCTGGATAAAACAAAAAGAAAAGAGAGAGAAAGTGAGTGAGAGAGGGAGAGAGATACCATCAGGGTACTTTTCATACATTTGAAGTGCTTATTTAAACATTGCTTCCCAACCTCAGCACTACACAGCTGCAGTGCATTTGGGAGGGTCAGGAGACCTGGCCTCAGTTTCCTCAACAATGAAATGGGATGCATTTTCTGGGGTCCTGGGAGTGTGAATGGCAAGGGTGTTGGTCAGGATGTGGGGAGGGGCTGGGGAGAAGACTGGGTCCAAACTCTGCTGCCACAGAGGCTAGGAGCCCACTCTCACACCCACCACTTTCCACGGGCTTCTCAGCAACTTGAGACTGTTCTTGGCCTTCTGGTTTGGTGACCACCATGGACGTGAGGGGGGTGACAAAGCTATAGTTGAGTGACAAGCCCAGAGCTTGCTTCTCCAGGACCTTCTTATCAGCATCGGATGCGGAAACCCTGCAGGAAGAGAGAATCAGAGGCCCACCTGGTCCCTGGATGCCTAGCTCCATTCTCCCTCCTTTCCAGACCCTTGGGGATGGAGGGTGGGATTCCTACTGGGAGGGTCTGGAGTCCAGACACCACACCATGAACCCCCTCTCTGCATATGTAGGAGATGCCCAGGCCACCTGTGCTGTCCCACCCATGAGGACCTTGGGAAGACAATGAGGCCGTGTGTGTCCGCCCCAGCAGGCCCCTGGCGGTAGAGGCCACCCACATTCGCTCCAGCAGTTGATGGATGGTCAGGTACGCCCAGAGTCTCTCCATGAAGCCGTGGAAGATGTACTTGGGCTTTCGGAACTCCTCCTCCTGCTCTGCCACCTGGGACTCCACTTGGAAGGTGATGTTCTCTGTGGGCTGGAAAGAGGGGCCAAGCCAGGGGGCAGCAGTGAGGGCCTGAAGCCTGCACCTGGCCTGGTACATCTCAGCTTTCCATGAGAAACCTAGTTGGGACTGGGCAGGTTTCACGAATAGGCCGTGACAACTGCATTCCCTTCGAATATGTGGGGTACAGGGAGGGAGCTTAGGGCTGTAAGGGGCTCAGCCACAGAGCTTCCAAGGATGAGAAGGACATGGATAGAAAGATAGAAACTATCACAGGTGCAAAGCCAGGAATCCAGATCACATGCAGCTTTTGGGAACAAGGAAAATGAGGATGGGATCTGGGCCCCAGGCCAGTGCAGAAACAGCAGCAAATGCAGTTTAAAGCAGAAAAGGTCCAAGAGGGCTCACCCCAAAGATGGAGACTCTGGGGACAGAGAGACAAGTGCCTTCCCCAGCAGTCATGGCAGAGTTGGAAAGAAAACTAAGGCTTTGATAGGGTTTGGACCCCATGTACTCCATTAAGCTGCCCCTTGACCAAGCTGGTGCCCTTTGCTGAGACCAGGCACTGTGTCCAAAGATGTGCCCAAGTTTCAGGTGGACTGCTGCTTCCTTTCTCGGGGTGGGGCCTTCTGGTCTCAGGCTGACCTGGACAGCAGCCTGGGACGTGGGGCCTGTGGGCAGAGGAACTCCAGCCTTTCCTGTCACAATTCCCCGGAGGCCAAAAGCCTTTGTAATGTGGACCCCAACCCCGCTGCTGGAGACGCCCTCCTCTGTCTCTCACCAGAGCCCGGCCTCCCACACCTTTGTCACCTGCAGGCCACCTGCACAAATGCCCTATCCACCTGCACAGCTATCTATTTGATGGTTTTCCTTAAGTGAACTTTAACTAGACTAACACTCTCCACTTGGCCTCGTCCCAAGCAATACGACCAGGGAAGTTGTACATCTGAGGTTGAAATTGCATTTCTCAGGAGATACATTAGGATAAATAGGTAATTATTCAAACAAAGGCATGTGTGACTCCCCCTAGTCACCCTGGGTTCCGCACTTTGGAAACTCCCAGCCTCCAGGACAACACCAGCAGCTAACATGTGTGGAATGTTTACCCTGGGCCACATGTTAATCCCACGGCAGTCTCACAAGGTGGTAAGATGACCAATTCTCCTTTTCACATGGTAGGAAACGGAGGCATGGGGAGATTATGTGGAATCCCCAGGCCTCACCCCTCGGACGTGGCAAAGAGGGGTGGAAGCCAGGCTTCTGGTGAGCTGCATGCACTGCTCATTGTGACACGTGCTACTTCTCTGAGACTCAGCTCTGGTCGCAGAGTGCCCGCCTGCCATGCATGCCTGAAAAATTCCTCCATCACTTCACCATCTGGTTCTGCTGCCTCCTACTCATCCCACAGTGGCAGCTGAGTCCTGTCCAGGAAGCTCTCCCGGACCTACAGGTCAGGTTGGGGCTCCAGTGCTGCTCCCAAGTCCCTGGGTTCATCCTCTCAGGGTCACCCCAGCCTCTGGGTCTTTCCTTCTTTGTGTGATGATTTACCCAGTGCCTCTCCCATGAGGGCAGTATCCCTAGGGCCCAGGTATGTCCTGGGTCACAGCAGGTGCTCAGACTCTCTTTGTGGAATGAGGGGTCCCCTGTGGCACAGAGGCAGGGGCAACTGGGAAAGGAGAGGACACCATGTGATGAGCTGGGGTGAGTCTTACTTGGGCTGCAATGGGCCCCAGGGCACGTTGGACCTCAGTCTGCTCATCTGTGAAGTGGGAGCATCTCTCCCTGCCTGAAAGCAATCTCAGAGGGCTGGTGGGAGGACAGAGGGGATGTCAAACCCGGTGCCCAAGGGCACAGCAGTAGCAACACAGACTGAATACGGAGTGCCTGTCATGTGCAGGCAAGCTCAGGTGCTCTCAGGAGAATCAGGACATTATCTCATTGGACCCCACCCCACACACACACCAGCTATGCACTGGGGACTGAGGCCATCCATGGTAACAAGGGCACTTTGGAACTTGCCCAAGGCAGTCGGCTGGAGTCTGACAGGGCTGGAATTTGAACCTAGCCCCTCTGAATGCTTGCTGCACCCATGCTTCCACACCAGGAAGCCATCCACACTTACCAGCTTCCCGCTGACTTGGGCTGAGAGCACCTCAGGGCTCTGGGCCTGGAGCTTCCCGGCCACTACCATCTCGGAGCCCTTGAAGAACAGCCGGAAGTTGTCCTGCGTGACCTCCTCCACGGCATTGTTTGGGTACACAAAGGTTACTGCAGTCAGCAGGGGATTGGCCACCTCCTGGTAGAAGTCCTGCAGAGTGGGGGGTGTCACCAGGGCCGGGCAGGGTCATCCCAGACTCACCCAGCCCTCAGGGGGAGGCTGGCACCTGCAGCTGCAGGGCGGAGTCCGAGTCCTCGTAGATGCGCCGAGCCAGGCCGCCATTGTCCAGTGCCAGCTTCTCCAGGAAGGCGTAGCTGACGTCGAAGCCAAAGCCCAGGCAGAAGAGGCTGTACTGACCGCCTATGGCCTCCTGCACATTCTTCTGGATCTTGCTGGGGTTGGTCTCGCCTGGACCCAGCGTTTTGGGGCAGGGGTGAGAAAAGAGGGATTTGCTCAGGGGATATTTGGAATCTCAGAGCCAGAGAGGCCTCAGGGACCCCTCACTTCCCTTGAACCACTTGCAGCCCCAGTGATGCCCCCTGGGCAGTGTGCCCTGGAGTTGCGCTGTGCCTCACCCACAGTGGGGTCGCCATCAGTGAGGAGGAGGAGAAGGGACACGCTCCCTGAGGGCAGCTGCTCCTCCCGGGTGGCTGTCTCCAGCAGCTGCACGGCCATCAGCATCGCATCGTTGATATTGGTTCCTGAGGGACACACACTCTCAGGATGCCTCGCAGGTGGGGTTCGTGTTTGGGGCCCCCATCCTGCATGGCTGCCATGGTGCTCACCTCCATGGGCCTTGAGGGTGTTAGCATATTTCGTGGCCTCCTCCACATTCTGGGTCGAAGCTGGCACCAGAGATGGCTTCCACTGGGTTGCCTCCCTGCTGAAGGTAATGAGGTTGAAATGGTCTTCGGGCCTGAGGTCCTCTAGGATCTTGATGAGGGCTTCCCGAGTCTGGTCAGGGGAAGGGGAAACAAGGTCAGGGGATCCTCCTTACGATTAATGTGCCCTTGGGCGGCATCCCCAGGCCCACACCTGCAGTGGGAACATGGTGAAGGCCCCAGTGTCAGGAGCAGCTCTGACCTCGGTCTCTGGAAGCCTCCTTCCCAAGAAGATGGAGGGGGGAGGGCCTGCCTGCTAGACCAGGGCTGACGGTGTGAGGCAGCTGAGAGTTTTCAGGGCCCTGTCCTGGCCTGTGTTACCCACCTGCCGGATTTTCTTGCCTATCATGGAGCCACTGGTGTCAATGACGAAGATCACATTCTTGGGTATCATGGACAGACTCTCCGGGGCAAAGTAGTGCACAAAGTAGCCATTCTCTATCTATGACCAGAATGAGACACACTGCAGCTGATGAGAGCTACAGCCCTGCCCTGTCCCACCCCACCTCCTCACCCCAAATCCCCAGGTCCCATCTTCTTTTCATTTAAGCTCCTCAGTCACAGTCCCACTGCTAACCTCCTCTAGTCCAGGACATCTTTTTTTCCTTTAAAACTTTATTGATGAAAGTATTACAGATGTCCTAGATTTTCCCCATTGGCATCTTCTAGTCTGCCACCCCCCTCTGGTCCTATACCACCCTATTGTCTGTGTCCATGGCTTATGCACACATATGCATACAAGTTCTTTGGTTGGTCTCTTCCCACTCACACCCCCCACCCCCACATTCCTCACCATCTCTTAGGACTCAGTGGAGCTACTCTTTTGCTGAAAACTTCCCTGCTATTCACGACCCACTAGAACTCTACTTTGCCTCCTATTTGTTTGAATAGCTGAGGCAGTTTACAGGTAAGAAACCTTCTTTAGCAGATGAAACTTTTCTGCTTCCGAAAGGGAATTCTTTCAGGGACAGCAGAACTAAACTGCGTGTTTTCTGTCTGTTGCCCTTGGTGCACACTGACCGGCAGGAGCCGTTTTTTTTTGGTTTTTTTTTTTGGCTTTTCTTGTCCAACAGCCAGGCTCAGGCTCCAGAGGATGGAGGGATTTCCTGGTTATTCTGCTCTCCCTGGAGCCCACGCACCTGAAGGGAGCCTCCAGAGAGGGTGCGGTTCACATCATAGCGGACGATGAAGTCGCCATCCACCACTGTGTCCTCTTGCTCTGCAGACTTCTGTTGCTGGGACAGCGTCGGCTTGAATCGGATGTGAGCCTGGAGGAACGACCGACTGGGCTGATGTTGGGGAGCAGCGAGGTCATGCTCACATCCCACACCCCATCTGAGAATCACCCAGGATGAGAATTCCACCTTATGTCAAATGCCAGGGAACTTTCTCTCACGCTGGGCTGTCAGGTGGGCGGCCTCAGTACAGAGGACGGGTGTGAGCGAGGAGACTCTGCTCCGGAGCCATGCCAGCAGAGCCTGGGCTCAGGATGTGTGTGATCCAGTCTCCAACCTTCCCCCTGGTCCTGGGATCCTCAGGTCAGTGTCCTCTCCCAAGAGCTCCCAAACCTCAGATGCAAACCAGTGCGCACACTTCTCCTCTAGGCCTTGCCCTCCTCATCTGCCACATGTCACCGCGGACACAGACACCTCAGAAGCTCGCCAGCTGAGAAATACTGCCCAATTGTCCCGCTTTCTGGAGATCCAGCTCCTCAGGCTGGCCTGAAGACAGGCCCCTCGGTACCCACACTTCCCACCCACTGTGGCAGGCCCACCTTGGTCTGGTTCTGTGAGACGGTGAGGGCATCTGCAAGCTCATTGGTCATGAAGGTGCTCTCTGTCTCCAGAAAGCTGATGCCCTGAGGCTCGAAGATGTGAATGTCCATCTGGAAGAAGAAATGGGTCACGGGGTTAGGCAGGAGCCAGGCCTGGGCCTCTCAGGAGGCAGAGGGGGCCTGAGGGCCACCCTCGGCAGCACAGGGTCCTCTAGGAGGCTCCTGGGAGGAGGCAGCTCTGGGTACCTGCAGGTGCTTGACCAGCTGCCGGGGCTGGACTTTCAGCAGCAGCTCATAAACTCCCAGACGCCGCTTGAGCAACTCCTCGTACACCAGCTCGAAGGTGACCTTGGCAGCGGGAGCCACGCTGACCGATACCTGGAACTGCTCCATCTTTCTCCCAGTGGCCCTGGGGGAGGAGGGCATCAGGCCTGCCCCTCCAGACCAGGTAGGGTATGGACACTGGAGGCAGAAGCAGAACTAAAGGCAGGGACAACTTCTGCCCCACCCCACTGGGGTCTCCCACACCCCCTTGGGCTCACTTGACAAGGCCAGCGCTCTCCCCCCTGGCCACGGCCGCACTGTACTGCTCCTGGGCTGCATGCTTCTCCTTGATGTTCCCTGGGTAGGTCACACCGTCGATGATCCTGGGGCAGGAGAGTGGGTGCTGTTCATAGTCTGGTGGTGGGGTGGGGGAACTCTCTCCAATCACCTCCTCCTCCAGGGAGCCTGTCTGTGACTTGCTGTGCCTCCTGCTAGAGTGACTCCTACCTTTACCAGATCTCACCCATTTATTGTGTGTCTACTGTGTACAAGACTGTGCAGGAGCCTGGGTAAGCGTGGGCAGCCTCTGTAAGGTGTGCCAGGCCTCCATCTACCCTGAGGCATGCACAATGTAAGTGAACATTCGTTTTACTGAATGGACAGGAGAGGAGGGTTCCAGAGGAGGCAGGGCTGCGCTAAGTCCTGGTCTCTCTTTTCCCTTCTTCTCTGGCCCCACATTCCAACTGCATCTGCTCATCACAGACTGTCCCAGAGGAACCTGCCCACCACCAGCAAGTGCTTTCTGAGCTGTGTGTGCACCCAGCCCTGTGGCCAGTTCTGTGGGGCAGGCTGAGGAGGAGGGAGATGCCAGGCTCCCCGGAGAGTGGGAGACAAAGGGCTAAAAGGCTCGAACCCCCTTCCCACCTGCACAGGGCAGGGAGGAATGCAGAGGTGGGGATGGCAGTGCTGGATGGGGAGGGGACACAGAGGCCGGCAGGAAGGCACCTACATGGAGAAGTTGGTGATGAAGGCTTTCTTGGGCAGCTCTATCTGGAAGGTGGCCTCCTGCATGGAATCCGCTTTGTTGACCACCCTGCTGGTGATGACCGTGTGGGCAAACCGAGAGGAGACCTTGGAGTCCACAGTGAGGCTGTAGATGTCGATGGCATTCTGGAGCAGTGAAGAAGGAGGGGGGGGAACTGTCTCAATGCCAGCCATGCCTGTAGCAATGCTCTTCCAGAGCCTGGCGTTGACCTAGGTCCCAAACCAAGCCTGGCCCGACCCCCACTGACTATGGATGGCTCAGGCAAAACCCTGTGCGGCATCTCACATGTGGATCTTTCTCTCAAATAAGAGACAGCTCTGTGCTCCATTCCCCAACCCACACTGACAGGGGCAGAGACCAGTCTGTCAACACACAGAGGGTGGAAGGTGGAGCATGAGCCCCAGAGTGTCAGGACTCCCACTTTTCCTGACCCTGACTGGGATCAGGAAGCTCACAGGCTTAGCTCTGAACAGTGTAAGGGCAGCAAACAAGTCCTTTGATTTCTGGCGACCAGAAGTGGAGGAACACAGCTCCTGCCAGTGTCCACAGGGGCCTCCAGGAGATGGGAGAAAAGAAAGGAACCAGGGTCCAGTCTCTAAGAGCTGGGAACATTCTTTGCCCCTTTTCCCTTCACCCATCCTCCATCCCCAGTTGCCTGCCCTGCAGCACAGTCTCTGACCCTGTGAGACGGTCAGTCCCCACAGGTCACTGACCCAGGCACTTGCTCTTCGACCCAGGTCTAAGGTTCACATATGCTCACATAAGAAGCCTTACACATCTCCTGCCAACCTGCATATGACACACTATGCAGGCTCCGTTCACCTGCACACACAGCCTAGCAGAGGTGGATATCTGGCTGATTGATTGGCTTGTTACACACGTGAGTGTCTGCTCTGTGCCAGGCACGGTACTAAGCACTTCATAGTGTTACAGGTTCCATCTCCACAACAAACCTCCAAAAGGGGTCTATTATTATCCTGCTTCACTGATGAGGAAAGGGAGACAGGAAGCATCATTACCTTGAGGCCATTCAGCCAGGAGTGGGCGAGCTGGGCTCAACATCCCCACTCCTACCTCCCCCCACTCTGGCCTCCAGGCGCAATTTGCTAACCTGCAGTTCCCCACCTGGAAATGGGAGTAGGATCACCCCTTCTAGCAAGCAGGGAGAGGAGAGGGAGGGTCTATAAAGCCCTGGGGACATGCCTGGTGGAGGATCAGCACCATATTTTTGCATACACACAGATCTGTGCTCATTCGCACACTCACCCTCACACAGGCTCTCACTCATTCACCGGCTCATACCACTCACACTCTGGTGCGCACACAGGTGCCCGAGGCACCCGCTACCTTTTGGGCATGGGTGGTCTGGAGGACAGCCAGCAGCGGCAACAGGACCAGCAGGATGGCACAGTTGCAGACAGAGGCTGGGGGCTTCATTTTGGCTCCAGTGCCTGGCAGGCTGCTTCTGAACCTGAGAGAAAGAGGGGAATGAATTAGTAACCTGCTGGCTGCTCCGCCCCTCCGGGGGCAGGTTCCGGGAAATTGGGAATCTACAAGCCAAAACCTGCAGTGGACTCAGATAAGCAGGCCAACTGCAAATGTCCTGTGGACCTTGGCTGGGGGTAGGCACAGGTACAATAAGTCCTAGTGTCATCAGGATAGGTTCTTGGAAAAGGAACTTTAAGTGAAATGGCGTATACCTGAGAAATGAGCTCAGTTCCTGTGGCATATTTCTGGTTTCAAAAACATCACCAAACCTCTAAAAAAAAAATTTTTTTCCCCCAAAATTTTGAAGTCAGCATGAGCTTTACATATATATTTAAGAAAAATTCATAAAGATAGGTTAAGATCCTACTTTTCCCTCTTGCTTATTCCAGTTTAGGGTCTTGATGCCCAAAGCCTCTCCCAGCAGCTCAGGGTGTAAAAGATGAGACCCCAACCTGCATGGGACACCGTCCATTGAAGGTCAACCTTCCATACACCCACATTAGACTGGAATGATGGAGACACACAGGCTTATCTCACATGCACATCTTTGGGATATGGGAGGAAACCATGCAGAAAACCCACAAAGACATGGGGAGGACATGTAAACTCCACACAGTGGCCCCCTCTAGGAATCGAGTTTTTCTTCATCAACATTATAAACCAAAGAGGTTGAATAAAATAACCTTATTCGAGGACCTGCTACACTAGGAAAGGCAGGCTCAGGTGGGAGCTAGGTATGGGCATACCTTCTGAAAGGTCTAGAACCTTCCCAGGTCACTATTACCCTTTACACCAGTTGGTTCACCAACAAGCACCCTGGGGTATGGGGACACAACTGGGAGCCAGCCCACTCTCCATAAGCCCAGCCTGGAGGAGAAGGAGGCATGGCTGGGAAGAGGACAGTGGGAGGAAGGAGCATGCAGGCCAGGTGGTTGTGACTGGGCAGTGGGGCCCTATAAGCCCTGAGCACTCCTTGGGGTGTCTGAGAGGAGCAAGATCTACTGGGGTCAAGGCAGGGTGGATCTGCCTTATTCCTGGGGTGGAGAGGCTGGGCCCATGAGACGCCTTCTCTCTCCTGGTTCCCAGGCTGCTGTTCAGGCCCCATTAATCTAGCCAGGACTCTGGCTTCAATTCCAGCAAGGCCCCAACACTAGACGTGCACCTTGGCAACACAAACTGAGAGCCAAAAAGGTACCCAGCCTTGTGGCCCAGAGGCCTCTCTCAGGGGACTTTACTGAACGAGAGGAACAAACAAGAAGGGACAGAGCTCCTGAAGGGGCTAGTCAGTGTGCTGGCCTGTACACACAGACCTACATGGAGGCAGTCATGCCAAGGGAGTCCATGAGTCATGGATTGAAGGAGAAAGGGCAGATGGCTTCTCCGTTAGCAAACCAAAGCAGTGCCTTGTCATGAGGGCAGACCCATGGAGGGTGGCCCCAAGGCCTGGGATAGGATTACCAATGGTTTTAGATTTTCCTTTAATAAAGTTGAAAATTGAGAGAAACCAAGATGGCGACAAAGGTTAGAATCAGGGGCATAGAAGGAAGTGGACTGATAACTCTCAGGGGAAAAGGGGTGTGAGTGTGTGGGAAGAGACTAGACAGAAATCACACACCTATGGATGAGGACAGTGTGGAGAGGGGATAAAAGGGCAGAGGGTGGGATGGGAACCGGGTGGAGGGGAGCTATGGGGGGGGGGGGAAGGAGAAAACATTGTAACAATCTGAACAATAAAGATTTATTAAATTAAAAAAAGTTGAAATGCTTTTTATAAAACAATTGGTTTTAGAGGGAAGCAGGGAGAGAGGAAGGGTTGGAGGGAGAAAGAGGAATGGGGAGAAAGAAAGAGATCAATTTGAGAAACATGTACTGGCTGCCTCCTACAGTCTCCCACACCAGGGATCAAACCCACCACCTTTTGATGACTCTGTACCTCTTTTTCAACCCTCACCTGAGGACATGTTTTCAGTGATTTTCAGAGAGAGGAAGGGAGAGCAGGAGAGAGGGACACATTGATCTGTTGTCTCCTACACATGCCCCAACTGGGGATCAAACCTGAAACCCAGGTATGTGCCCTGACCAGGAACCGAACCCACAATCTTTTGGTGTATAGATGATGCTCCAACCAACTCAGCCTCCCTACCAGGAGGGGAATTGACTCTCTAAGAGGCTGAATCAGCTGAGTCACTGGCCAGGCACTTGAAACTCAGGACTAAATATGACATGGCCTGGCCCTCCTGGAGTCCAGAGTCTAGAGGCTAGAATCAGTTCTCAACATGCAAACCTCAACACAGGGTAATGATGCAGCAAGCTGCCCGTGATCAGCCAGGAGATGAAAGAGGAAGGCTCCGGAGGAGGACACAGAGGGGACAGAGATGAGAGATGGTATGTGCAGACTAGGGGAGGGCATGCCAGTGTGCGGAGAAAAAGTTCAGAGAAGCAAGTTGGAACCAGGTCACAGAGAGAGTTGGACCACAGGACTTGGGGTTCACCCTTTCCCTGGGGCCATGAGAACCAGAGAAGGATATGAGCAAGGGCTGCAGCCATGGAAATGGGAGTCTTAGAGTGATGGGTCTGGTTTTGCGCCCTGGCTGCCTTGAGCGGGGGGAGGGGGCTGTGATCCAGGGGCCATGCCAGCCGTGTGGGTAAGGGGCAACGAGGCTGAGATTTAGGCTATTTGCTCTAAATGTGACTCCACACCTTGTCACCATTGTCCCCACCCAGGGAGGCCCAGGGCTCCTCTGCCAGCACACGGCTTCCGCTTACACCAGGACTCCATGTCCCCCAGCCGCTGGGAGTGAAGTTCACATGCTGTTGACAATACCCATGGGGCCCCTTTGGCTTAGGCAAATACAAGCCCTGTTACTCCATCCAACGCTGGCTTCCTGGACAGACTCCGCCTCCCGCTCCACCCGCACTGCTGGAGGCCACTGACCCCACCGGTCAGCTGGCTCATATAAAGACCATGGGCCAGGCCTGCGAGCTCAGCGATGGCGAGCTCAGCGATGGCGTCTGCTCGGTGGCCCTGCCTCCTCGTGGCCCTGCTCTCCAGCTCCATGGCCTTTGGCTTCCCAAGAAGCCCCTCCCGGTCACGTGAGGTAAGTCTGTCCTCTCTTCACAATCTGGGTCCATCACAGGACAGAGGTCCCAGCCCGGGTGGTCCTCCACATGGGGAGGGGGAGGTAGAGGGCAGGGTCATGAGCTGCAGGGGACAGGGCTGGGATTTGGGAGGACTGGGCTCCAAACTTACCCTTTGATTCTGGGCAAGGCTCTGAAATCTCCCTGGGCCTGTTTCTCCACCTGTCAAATGGGTGATACACCACGAACTGCTCACCTCACTGAGCAGCTGTGCAGGTCCTCCTCTGAGAAAAGGGCAGAGGCGCCTAGGAAGGGCTGGGCTGGGCCTGTGCTGTGCAGTGGTGCGGGTGCTCTGACAGGAGGCCACATGGACCCGGGTGCAGGGACAGGCAGTGAGCCGAGGTCTGTGCAGCAGGGAAAAAGCCCTGTCCTCTCCATTTGGTAGCCTGAGACCTGTTCTCTCTGGATCTCAGTTTCCCCATCTATTCAGAGCCCTTCCTCCTCTGACCAGAAAGGTCCTACATCCAGAGGCCCATCAAGAGGTATGCGGGCGTCTGCCAACATCCTGCCCCCCATTCACAGTGGCCTTGGCCTTGACCTGACAGTATGTTTCTCTTTGCTTTCCCAGAAACGCAGCGTCGTGGAAGAGGTGAGGACTTTCCCCAGAGAGGGGGCATGGTGAGGGGGGCAGGGTGGAGCTGGTTGCCCAACAGCTGAAGAGTTGGGCCATAGCATAACCCTGCACAGCTGACACACAGCTCACAGCCCCTACCCTGGCAGACCCCCCAGGAAAGAGTGCCACAGAACCATGCCCCCTGACCTCTCCAGATGCAGCTCAGGATGGCCAGAGCACCGTCCTTCCTTCCTTCCACAAACACCAAGCAGTTGCTGGTACTGGGCTGGGCAGTGAAAGGCCCTGTCACGCCTTCACGGAGCATCTTCATATTCACATTTACCCAGACATCTCCCTAGAGCAGTTCTCAACCTGTGGGTTAGACCCTTTCATAGGGGTCGAGGGAGTGAAGCCATCAGCGGGAACCGTGGGGGGTGGGGTGATGAGAAGCCTCTGAGTCTCTAAAGGGATATGAGTACAGGAGTGAGTCCCCTGCCCAGGGTCACTTCCAGGAGAGGGACTTAGGCTGCAACATGGAAGGGCTCAGTTAGACAGGAAGGAGCACTCCCAGCCTGAAAGTTAGGCCTTGAGCATGCGCCTGGGGATGGTGAGAGGAAGAGGCTCTGAGAGCTGGAGGCTGGGACCAGGCCAGCTCACCATACCCCAAGAGGGAAGCTCTGAGTTTCCCCACAACTGGACACACAGGCTGGGGTGTGGGCATTGGGGGACATGGGAGGGAAAGAGATAGTGCAGGCCAGGCCAAGAGCTCCTGGTTGCGGGAGCTCAGCTGGCTGCTGGGAGGCCCCCAGCATGCGGCTGCTTGGATAGGCAGCATATTGATCACATTGGCCCAGACCCCAGGAGTCTGTGTCTGCTAACACATTTCTCCCCTTCCCCCTCACAGGGCCTCAGGAATCAGGTGAGCTTCAGCCAGGAGCTGTGGGTGGGGGTCCCGGGAGGGAGATAGGAGAGAACCCAGGAGGCCTTTCCTAGCAGGCCTGGGCTCAGGTCCCAGCTCCGCTGCCCACTCATGAGCAACTTTGGGTCAAGGTCTGCCCTCTCTGAACGCCAGGCCCTTGTCTGTTGACTGGAGGTGGCTTTCTCTTCCCAAGGAGAGACAGTCTGTACAACAGTATTAGTGGCATACAAAATGAGCATTACCCACATCAGGCACTCACACCACATGAGTCCCACGGCAACCCTCTGAGTAAGGTTCTCATTTTACCGTGAGGAAACTGAGGCACAAAGGTTAGGTCTATGTGCACAAGGCTTCTGTCCGCAGGTGGCTGAGGCAGGGCTTTGGCCCAGGCAGCCTGGTTGCAGTGCCTGAGCTGGAATTCACAGCATCCAGTGTGTCTCTCATCATGAAATTGGACCCTCACCCCTCACTAGCCCATCACCACCAGGCAGAGCTACCCCAGCCCCTGCCTGCCTCACCTCCATCAATACAGGTTGTTCTATCCAGCTTTCCCCTTAGAACAGCCATGTCAAATGTACATCACTGGTGTGTATGTGCCTATGGTGTGTGTGTGTGTGTGTGTGTGTGCGTTACTACCAAGGACAGCTGTAAGCCTCATCCCACCCCAATAAGGGATGGGCAGGAGTTGAAGAGTGGCAGACAGGATGTGCTGTGAGCTTTACTCAGGACAGAGAAGCTGGCCTTCTGATGGCTTGCATTTCAGCCATATCAGCGTGCCACGCCCTTGGCCTTAAAATCACACCCATATCACCACCAGTCCTAGAAAGAAGTTCCTGCGCATGCATCCATTTCTATAGCATAAGCCAGTGGGGGGCAAACCTCGGCTCGTGAGCCATATGCGGTTCTTTGGCCCCTTGAGTTTTTAGCAAAGGCCAGCTTAGGAGTGCCCTAACAAGTTAATAATAATGTACCTACCTATATAGTTTAAGTTTAAAAAATTAGGCTCTCAAAAGAACTTTCAATTGTGGTACTGTTGATATTTGACTCAGTTGACTAAGCAGTTTGCTGACCGCTGGCCTAACCTAAGGCTCTCATTCCCACCCTCTCTCTGTCAGTGCGGGGGTTTCACTGTGCACCAGTAGCCCCAAGACAGGCGAAAGGCACAGGTGTTGAGAACAGGGCACCAGAGGCCCCCTGCACAGGACAGCCCTTTGGCTTCCTTTTTCATTGGCCCCCGCCACAGCCACAGTCCCCTGCCCCAGCACAGCCCTGTGCGTGCCCCCTGGAATCTTCCTAAATCAGCTCCCTGGGGAGGCAGATGGTTGGATCCTGAGGAGATGGGGGTGGGTGGGTGTTGAGAGCATTAGGAAGCAGGAAGGGGTGGGGTATGAACCTAACTCTGGGGGGGGTTCTGGTGCCTCCCCAGGCCTGCTTGTTCAGTTCAGCCCTCTCTCCCTCTGTGTTCACAGCCAGCTACCAGCCTCCTTCTAATCCCTACTATTATGGTGAGTTCCCGGCTCCTCTGGGAGCAAGGCTCAGGGCCCAGGGCCCAGTGCCTCCTGCCTGCCTAGGATTGCATCCCTCAGAGGCCAGAGGGTGAGGCCCAGCACCCAGCCCTCTCTCTGATGTGCCCTCAGTGGATGGAGACCCCCACTTCATCATCCAAGTCCGAGGGAATAAGGATGCCATCTGCTTCAACATTGATGAAGAACCAGGCACAGTGCTGCGCCTCATTCAAGACCCCATTACAGGTTGGAGCTGAAGGGTGGGGCTGGGGTCAGTGGTCTTCCTGGGAAGGCCTGGAGTCCCCTGAGTGGGCATATGGACTAGGTTCTCACTCTATCCACATTGCTCTCATCTCTCTATGTAGATTACACACTGGAGAGGGCTGTCTAGAACCAAAGGCTAGCCAGATTCCCCAGGGGCCAGTGTGTTGGGGAGAGGGTTAGAGTTAAGGACAGCCTGGCCATAAAGGCAGGACTCAGCCTATAGCTGGGGAATAGTTTTTCTCTGAACAATAACAATTCCTGGGCCAGGAAAAGAGACAGGTCTACATTGTGGGCCCTCAGCCACCAGCATGACCCAAGAGTGTGTAGGAACAGATGAGGTTAACTGTGAAGTTCTGGTCTCTTCTGGGGACCCCCACTCTGCTACCTTGCAGCAAGTCTGGCTGAGGCGGAAAGATCATCCTTAATGGCCAGCTGATTACAAGATCTCCCTGGTCTCTTTCTGCTCCTTGCCCCTGGCAGGCTTAACAGTAAATGGGCAGATCACTGATGACAAGGGAAACGGCTCAAACTCTAAGAACAAAAAGACTTACTTTGGCAAAGTGGGCATTGTCAACGCTCCAATGGACTTCTGGATTTAGGTGACCACAGAGATTACTCTGCAGAATGGGGCTGCCCAGAGTACTTTCAGCTGGCTGGATACGGTCACGGTCACCTCAGAAAGGTAAGGTCCCATACGGGTACCCGATGAAAGGAGGCTTAAAAGATTTGTAGAAATCTGAGGACAGAAGACCCATACGGGGTTACAGGGATGACTGGTGGCCTCAGAGTTCAGCCCCTGTGCTTGGGGAGGGTGACCATGGAAGACCTAGTCAATGCCTAGGGCCCCTGTGAGAAGCAGAATTGGTAGCTGGACAGTTCATAGGGCTGACCTTGAGGGAAAGGCTACATGGACCCAAGGATCAGGTAGATGTGGCAATATGGTAATAGCAAGAATCCCAGTTGCATCTTCTCTGGCTGAATTTATTAGTTCCCAAACTGCTCAGCCTCTCCTATGCCATTAGATTGCCCAGAGCCTGGTAGGCAGGCAGGAGTGTTACTCCCACAGAGGCTCAGAGCCGGTGTAGAACCTGCCCAGGAAGCTAGCAGCTGAGCTGGGACTGGATCCCAGGCCTCCACATGCCCAGGAAACCACTTTCCTGCTTCTGGAGGAGCAAGGCTGGATCCAGTGGAGGCAGAGTCAGCATGCATGACCTGTCTTTCCTCCAGCAGCCCTGAGCTAGTGCCTGGAGTCTGTGTGTTCTCAGATGCCATGCACAGAGCAGGCTCTCCCAGAATGTCCTTGATTCAGATGCTGGTGTCATGGTCTCTGTGCCCCTGCTGTCCTCATCTGTTCCCCTAGGTTCTCCTTGAAGATCAACAGGGAGGCTCTGGTGATCTCCTTTGGAGAAGGGATTACTTTTAAGGTGGTTCTGCACCAGGTGTGGAAGAAACATCCTGTCCACCTGAACTATCTGGGCTCCTATGGGCACATGTGTCAAACAAAAGGCCCGCGGGCCAAATCCGTCTTGCCAGGCCTTGCAATGTGGCCCGCACCGCGCTGTCATCACTGCATTCTGCTGCGTTTCCATCACAATGACAGTTTATGACTGTTCAGTAAACCATTCGGCCCGCGATTTAGGCTGGATTTTAGATTTTGGCCCCTTCTCTGATTGAGTTCGACACCTCTAGTCTGGACAGTGACAAGATGTCAACAAAGTCACATGGGCTACTGGGTATGGAATGTTGAAGCTTCAGGCTGTGCAGGGCAGAGGGAAAAACCATGTGCAAGGCCATCCTACTCACCCCATGCCCAGCACACAGCACCCCACTCATCCCTTGCCTTAACCCTGGAAGGCCAGTGGCCATGCTACCTGGGGCAATGGCAGGGCCTGACAGTGTAAATGTTTTTCTTCCCAGGACAATTCTTCCGCCCCCTTGCTTTTAAAGTGTCTGACTTCAACCCAGGCAATGACCACTCAAAGATACATGCCACCATGCTGGTGAAGAAACATCGGCTGGCAGTCACCAGGTGATGGGCCCCATCTGACACCCTCACCCTGTCCACTACCAATCCAGGAGGAAAGAGCCCTCTCTGCCCACACACATTGGTCCAGCAGGCTTTGTCTTCTGTGGGTTGCCTGCATTTCCCTCTGAGGTCTTGACCCCCATTTGGCCTCTCCACGTCAGGGAAAGGCCACACTCAGGCCCTAGGAGGAGTAAGTATGCAACCTCGTACTTACTCAGAGAATTATGTATCCAATAGTTGTCAACGTTACACCCTTTCCAACCTTGATTCACGAAGCGTTGCAGCCATCTTGTCTAGCCTGTGTATCACAGCATCTCTCTCCTTTCTCCAGGGGCTACCAGAAAGACTGCAGGAAGGATGTCCATAATGGCACACATGTGGGCTGCTGGTTTGTCCACAACAACGGCCAAGGGGTGATTGATGGGGTCCACAGTGACTACATTGTCCCTGACCTGTTCTGCGTAGCTGGCCCAGCTGGCCTGGCATCTGGAGCGGGACACAGAGCCAGGCCTGAGGGAAGGATGTGACAATAGAGGACACAGTGGAAACCAGACCGCTGCCAGCCTGTGCATGCCTCTCTTGGCCCCTACTCTGGGGAACACCAGCTGGGACCTGAGGCAGCTCAAAAAAGGACTGGCTGCTAGGAAGGCAGCTTCCTAGGCCTCCCCAGCAATGTTGCTGAAGGACAGGGCTGGTCGGTGTCACACTTTGGCAAGTCAAATGTATGAGGGGGAAAATAATGGACTCTGGAGCAAAGAGTCTCTGAGAAGTTGGGAAGGGCTGAGTGCATTTCAGAGGCTAAAAGGTTCATGAGGAACGTCTGGTCCTTGCTCAGGAGCTCCTCTTGGGTCCTTCAGATCTTGAGGTCCTTCTGTGACTCATAAGCAGAATCCTCCAGGGCTGGTACAGTCTGCAGCTGATTGTAGATGCCATCCATCCACCCACATGCCCATTGTCTGTCCGTCCGTCCATCCACCCAGCCACCCATCCATCCACTTACCCATCCATCTATCCACCCACCCACCCACCCATCCATCTACCACTCACCCACCCACCCACTCATCCATTCATCCACTTATCACCCATTTGTTCATGAGATAAAACCAACATTCTGGGCTAGAATCTGGGGGCATATGGCTCAGTGACCCGTTCCTGTGTGCATAGATACCTCAAATATGCCTTCAGCTGGCCTGGATCCTTGGGATCTTCCAATCATACCCTACAAAGTCATGGGTGTGGTGGGGGTCAGTCCAGTTCCTGGACTAGGGGCTCTGAGAGCCTCTCCTACTTGAATAACTGTAATTGCCCCTTCCTGGCTCTCCCTGCTTCCAGGGGGAGCTTTTCAGAGCAGAACCAATCATTGCTCCCTGCCTACACCTTGTCAATGACATCTCCCACCCATTGCTCTTGAGACAAAGACAAAAGTCCTTCCTATGGCTTCTCAGATTCATCAACTCCATGAACCAGGCATCTCCCATTAACTTTCTGGATTCCAGACACATAGACCGCTTCCAGTTCTGCAAACACAAGTCCTCCTGCCCCAGATCCTTTGCCCCTGCTGCTACCTCTGCCTGCGGGGCTAATAGCATGCTAGATTGAGGGTACTCTTTGAAGGAAACAGTGGGTAGCTTGGCACAATGGCACAACAAGGGACACAATAAGGCCAGAGAAGGTTGGAGTCTGATTGGGAAGGATCATGAAGGCCAGTGGGGGTGGGGATGGGATCTGGTCATGGGCCACACAGAGGTTTTCCTAATTCCCACTCCAGGGCCTCTCTGGATTTCCTAGAGATACCAGCCTGGGGTCCTGGAGAGGGTATTGGGGGGCAGTCCAGGAGGAAACATTTATCAACAGAAAAGTCCCCCCCCCCCCCCGGGCATCTATGAATGGTAACTCGTGGAATGGCGCTGCTGCTACTCTACAGAGAGGGCACATGAGACACCACTCTAGAGTAAACGTGGCAGGTGTCCGGGCTGGGCTGGCAAAAAGTGCCCAGCCTGGGAAAGGACATCCTAAAGTAGGAAAGCTCTTCCATGTCCTGTCACTCCAGCTGGCAGCCTAGCCTGGCAGGTAGGCAGAAAGGCAGAGGAGGTCCACAGCCCAAATGTGCCCCTTCCCCTCCCTCAACACAGTCAGGGAGGCCTCCTTACAGGCCAATTTCAGGCAGATTCTGTCCTCATCCCAATCACATGTCACTCTGGCTGGGCCTCTGATGGCTCCCTGGCTTTCAGGATGGAAATCATGCTCCACGGCAAGGTCAGTGCTGGCCTGGCCCTGCTTCTCCACCTTTCCACCATCCTCCTCACCCCATTCTTCCCTTCTCCTACCCTGAAGTCAACCCACGATATCCTGGCTCTCGGCCCAGTGTCCTTGTCCTCCTTTTCTACTGGGCTGAGTTCTCTTCATTCATTAAAACTCAGCCCCAATCACGCCACATTCCTGGAAGCTTCTCAGATCCTCCCCAGGTAGAACAAGAGGACTCCCTCTGGGATCCTTGCAGCCCCTGGTTGTTCTTGGGTGGCATCTGTCACACAGGCACTGTCTGTCATGGTGCCCACAGCACTCTGCCCAGGGCCTGGCCCAAGGAGGTGCTGGAAAGCACTCAGTGAACAAAACAATGAAGGGCATGGGCCTACTTCCAATTGTTCACAGAAGACACCTGCCCTGCTGCTGGGCCAGAAAGTCACTCTGACTCCTCTGCTGTCGTACAACCCCCCAGCCCAACCCAGCCCAGCCCAGCCCAGCACAGCCCAGGCAGAGGTGTCCCAGAGGGTGAGCTTGGTGTGGGCCCCGTCTCTCTTCTTGGTAGGTGTGTCAGAGCTGGCCTCACAGCAAGTCCAACAGAGGCACCAAGGCAGCTCTCTCGTCTCACAGCAACAGCCTGAGACCCCTGCCAGCCAACCAGGCAGAGGGAGAGGCAGATGGAGTGTGGCTGTGCTTTGGCAAACTTGCTGCTGGCTCCCACCTATGGGCCTCTCTTCTGACCCCTCTAGAGAGACTCACTCAGTAAACACCCTATAGAGCTCAAGAGCTGGGAAAAGGCTTTCCCTGATGATCTGGTTTGCTTCCTCTTAACAAGCAAATGAGCTCCTTTTCTGCTTTCCTCTGGCTGTGGGGAAGCTCAGAGCAAAGTTTTGTGCTGCAGCTTCAACACTAGGGTGTCCCCAACAGAAACCCCAGCCCTACTCGGCTCTTCTCTTATTCCTATGGGCTTTGTTTAAAAAAAAAAGTGTGTGTGTTTTTAAAATCCTCACCCAAGAATATGTTTTATCATTCATTTATTTATTTATGTATTTATTTATGTTTAGACAGAGAGGAAGAGAATGAGAAAGAGAAACATCGATGTCAGAGAGAAACATCAATGGGTTGCCTCCTGCGAGCTCTCCAACTGGAGATCCAAGCCACAATGCAGGTTTGTGTTCTTGACTGGGGACTGAACCTGCAACCTTTTGTGTACAGGGTGATGCTCCAAACAACTGAGCTACCTGGGCTATAAATGATGTTTAAGTACGCTCTGACTGTGCAGGAATTGGGGCATGGATAGGAGAGGATTTAGAGTTGGGCACCTGGTCACCTCCATGGAACAGACACTTCTCTACTGGGATGAGGGCCTCATGTCTGTTTCCTGCATTCCAGTGCTAGCTCCTTTCCAGGCGGGGAGCCCAGGTGTGAAAATCAAATTGCATCATGCAAGCCCCATTGGAAAGCTTGCTGAGAACTTCTACCCAGTTCACTTTTTTTAATAGAGGTAGAAAGAGTCAAAACTGGTTTTCATGCTCATAGCCAGTTTGGCTCAGTGGATAGAACATCATCCCAAGGACTAAAGGCCCTGGCTTAGATTCTGGTCAAAGGTATATATCTTGGTTGCAGGGTCGATCCCAGGTCCCAGTCAGGGCTCGTGCAAGAGGCAACCAATTAATGTGTCTCTCTCACAATGATGTTACTCTCTGTGTCTCTCCCCTTCCCTTCCACTCTCTCTAAAAATCAATGGAAACTTATCTTTGGGTGAGGATTAACAAATGACATGACATAACATGACATGACATGACATGACATGACATGAAAACTGGTTTTCAAGGAATGAAACTGAACCTCTGCTCTCAGAGGATGTTTTCCAGCCCTAGACCCCAAGCTGGGGACTGGAGTGACATACTACATGGGTGGTTCAATCTCTAAATCTTAGTTTCCACCTTATGAAATGAAAGGAGTGGACCAAAAGCTCCTCAGGGACCTATTGGCCACAAGCCTTTGTGGGCTGATAATGGGAAGATTCTAATGTCACATGATGCTAAGTGTTCAGGGGGAGGTTCTACAGCCCTGGTGTTTGGCTGGATGGAACCAGAGACACCCACTCCCTGATTTGCACTACCTTCCTTTATTTGTAGTAAGTGGCACTCCCCTCCCCATCACGGCGAGACCCAACAGGCGGCTCTGGTCACAGATGACAGCCATCTGCACACAGTGGGGTGGCATGGGGGTGGGTGGATGAGTGGGTATAACTCCTGCCATCAGGAAAATAGCTTGATAGTCCAGCAAGAAATCTCTGTTCCCGGGGTCCCCTCTTGGTAATCCAGCTTGAGCTCTCTGGGATAGATAGACAGATAGACAGATGGACATGCAGGTGGTTAGTAAATCTCAGATGTGGTGGGAAGAGAGGAAGAGAGCTGGGGATTGGCAAGTGGAAGGTGGGGTTTCAAGGCCCCTTAGAATTCCCTCCAGCACAGGCTGACAAGGTCCTGTCACCCAAGGGCACCCGGTTGTCCAGGGTCCAGGGCTCTGCGACTTCAGGGAGTTTGCTAATGCCCCCAACTCACCCTTAGTGATCTCTGGCTGCGGTGTTTTCTGTGGGTCTGAGTTGACCATTTTTGTGGGTCACACTGAGGGCTGGGTCACACATGTCTAAAGCATCAACCTTTCACCTGACTATCTCTAGATCCCAGGTACGGACAGGGGAGTGGAGGCCCCCAGGGACCAGCTCTCAGCCTCCTAGTCCCAGCCCTGGCCTGTTTGCGTGAGTCACCTGGTGGCACTGTAGTCAAACCCATGAGTCCTCAGTGTTCGCTTGCTGTCATCTGTGGCATCTGGCGGCCCCCAGAGCACGCCCTGGTAAAAGCGGCCTGAGAGACAAAGAGTGGTCAGTGAGGGATGAAGACACGGGGGCTGAGACACACACGGCACTGCCTGTGCCCAGGCAGAGGTGGATGGAGGATGCCCTGCGCCAGGGTCATGGGCAGCATACCAAGGATCCCGTCGACGTGGCTGGAGAAGCGGTCAGTGTCCCGCAGAAGCAGCCGAAGCCCCTGCCCAGGGCCGTCCCAGGACAGCAGGCCGATGGTCACTTTGTCTGGGCTGCTGAGCAGCAGGAGCCCCGCCTTGTCCATGGTCATCGTGAGGCTGTGGGGAAACCCAGGCTCCTGAGAGCAAGGTAGGCATGCAGACACCCTCAGGGGACCCTGGCCGGTGGGGTGGGGTGGGGTGGGTGGGGCAAACCCTGTTGTGTCATTGGGTGGGAAGTCCATTACATATTCTGAGCCTCAGTTTTCTCCTTAGCAACAAGGACCAATGTTAATTTAATGACACCTGGTGATCCCAGCATTTCTACAACAAAATAACGGTTCCTTTCGCTCTGTTTTCTTAGATTTGATTCCCCACAAATTCCTTTGATATGATTCTGGGGGTATCGGACACACTCTGCTGGAGCCACTTTGTCATATTCCTCCATTGGATATGTGCTTAGCCTGTAACTCAGGCTTGGGGTGATTCTCATCAGGTATGAGTGAGGAAACTGAGGCTAAGAGGGTCTAAGCAGCCTGCCCAGGATCACACATGATTAGCAGCAGTGTGGCTCCAACCCACATTGTTCCCTGCGCAGGAGAGTGCCCTGGGTTAGGTGTGAACATTCTGATGGAGAAGCCCACAACTGGTCCCCCTTGATGTGCCAGGCCACCCAGACCTGCATGTGTGGTGGCCAATGAAAGGTCTGTGGGGTGGATGTTTGAGTGTAAGGGTCAGTGCTCAGGAGCATGACCGTGGGTTAGCAGCCAGGTCCTGGGTGCCCCCCCAGAGAAAAAAAGGTATGGTTCTGCCCAACAGGTGGAGGCAGCCAATAGCTGAGGACTCATGCCCTGCCCAAGCACTTCATCCCGAAGCCTGTGGCCTCAGGCTACCGGTCAGCACTGTCACTAACGTAGCCTGAGACGTCACCGCTGGTACCCAGGCTGTGGCTTACCCAGGCATCACCACAAACCGCGTCTCCTTCCATTTGTACTCAGAGCTTCTTCGGCCCCTAGTCAGGACCACGTGCTCAGGGGACACATGGACCTGCAGCTGGGGATTCTTGAAAGTCACCTTGATCCAGGAGAACTGGGCCTTCTGCATATTATACTCCGCAGTCACCTCGAGACCTGAGAGAGCCCAGAGCAGAGGTCAGAGGCATGGCCTGGCTGGGCACTGGCCTGCACAGGAGGCACTCTCTGATTATGTCCTCCAGAACTGTCCTTCACCAGCCCCCTCCTCACTGCCCTGCCCCCAGCATTTCCTCACACTGGAGTCTGGTTTCCACAATCTTTTCTCTCATCCCTTGGTTGTATTTGACTTTGGAAGGACCACAAATCCTCAGTGATGGACAGGTTCAGATGAGCCCTCTGAGAAGGGAGATCGTGTCTGAATCCAGGAACCGTTAGAAAGCGCTGTAGTGTGCCTGGCCCTGAGCTAGGTGCCATGGCCAAGACGGAGTTGGAAAATCAGTGGTCCTTGCCCTCAAGGAACAAAGAGACTTTAGGCCTGGTGTGTGGAGGTGGGAGACTGTGTGTGAGCATCCCTGAGTGCTGTATGTCCCCATGTCATACCTCAGCTCAACCAGTATGACCGTTCTTTGTGGTCAGCACTCTCCCTCCTCTTGCCATTCCACTCCTCCACACTCTCTAAGGTCCCACTACTATCTTTCAGGGCTCTGGGCTTCTGCCAACCTCTGCCTCTCCCTAGAAAACCCCCGCTTGTCTGCCAAGACGCAGTCACTATTGTGTGATCCTGTGCAGCCTCATATGCCCCTCCCTCAGCCTGGCCTCCCCTTCTGGGCTTTTGCCTCTAGGTCGCTTTGGGCACTGCCTGCCTGCAGAGGGTTTCTCTGGAAGGTGACTGTTCAGGGCTCACCTTGGTCAGGGTCTGAGAGCAGGCGTAATGATGGCCCCGGGGTGCGCTTGATGTCCACGCAGACCTGGTCCACGCTCTGCCCCGGCAGAGGCAGGATGACGGTGGGAGCCTGGATGGGGGCTGGGGCAGCAGATGTGGTTGCTGGGGCAGGTAGAACAATCTGGAGGGCAGCGATGGGAAGGGGGGCAGAGGAGGGCAGGCAACTTACCTGGTGGTGGGGCTGTAGGGCTTGTTTCTGGAAGAAAAAGTCTTTGTTTAGGCATGTCCTTTTCAGAGTTCGGGGCCCGGCCAACGGAAGGATGGGATAGTGTATGGGTGTGGCCAGGGTTCCTTCTCCACTTCAACATTGAGAAACCATGTAACAGGTTCCAAGAGATCCCCAGGGATCTCCCATCCCATGGTCTCCCTTCTCTAGGGCCATAGTCCACTTCAGGGAATCTGGTCTGGCGACCTACCTTTCCTTGTGTAACGTGGATTATCAACCACTAAAATGGAACCACCGGCAGAGAGAGATGCTAGTACAGGAATAGCCAGAAACGAAAAAGGGAGAAGGCAGTCAGGATTCAGAGCAATCAGCTTCCCCTCCTCCAGCCATCACTGCCACCTACCACCCACCAAGCTCGAGCCCTGCAACCCCTGCCCTCATACACCCAACCCAGGAGAGCACACTTTAGGAAAACACTGAGGAGACAGGGTCCAGTTGGTGTTGTGGCTGAGTCTCAATCCAGCCTGGAGATCATCGGGCCACTCATGGTTTTGGGAATGGTGAGAGCCTTCCCTTTCTAGAAGTTTCTATGCTGCGCCAGGCTCCAGAGCCTAATGGGTCTGGTTCAGTGAAATACGTGACACACTACTTCATGTCAAGCCCCACAGCAACTGTCCCTGGTCTGTGCCCAGCCTGTGCAGGGTGCTTGCTCCCATTCAACTCTATAGGCAGGCTTACCTATCCCCTCGAAGAAATGAGTCAGAAAGTGGCTTACCTACCCTATTTGGTAGCCTCAGATCCGGATCCAAAGTAGAATATGGATAAATATATTGAGACGGAATAGGTCCAAGTGGTCCTCCTCTACTGCCGTGCAGGTCATGAACTTCAGTGTGTAGGAAAACTCCTGCTTTAGAAACATTGACATCTGCAGTCTCTGCTCAAGCGGAGTCATGGGTCCTCACCGCCAGGGCTCTGGGACCCACCCCGGGAGATGGATGTAGAGAGGACAGATGGCTCCTTTCCCCACACCCACTACTCTGAGAGCCTCTCCCTCAGCCCGGAGAAACTCAAAGATGGGAAAAGGAACCCTTCCTGAACTCCTTCCCCCTGGGATATCTGTCACTTCAAACTACCTTGTCCGTTGAGGTTTCTTCTGCCGCTAACAAAACGTCCTGCATGGCTGTCTCCTAATCACACACACTGAACTGAGACCCAGCCCAGCCACCAGCCAGGTGAGCCAAGCAAGCCACTCACCCAGACTCAGGGCAGAGCACAGCCTGTGGCCAGGCTCCAGGTTCTGTCAGTCTCCCCTCCCACTACCTCCCCTGCTTTGATACCTGGTAATTTGGGCCCTGTGTGTCCCATGGCTCGATGTCTGAAGACAATGCGACCTGGAAATCAGAGAGACCTGGGTGTGCATCCAGCTGGATGGGGACTGTGCCCCTAGCGCCCAGGACAGCCAATGTCTGAGCAAACAGGTGTCTAAAGCACCCATGTGCTTGGGCAGACAGAGCCCCCTCCTGGCAGCAGGCTGGGCTGGAGAGGCCTTGGCCAGCAACTTTGTGAGACTGGGGTCCGAGGTCCTGATACAGCCACCCATCACCAATGCCAGCCTTTGAAGGTATTAGGCCCTTACTTGATGGAACCTTTTCTGGATAAAACAAAAAGAAAAGAGAGAGAAAGTAAGTGAGAGAGGGAGAGATATACTATCAGGGTACTTTTCATACATTTGAAGTGCTTATTTAAACGTTGCTTCCCAACCTCAGCACTACACAGCTGCAGTGCATTTGGGAGGGTCAGGAGACCTGGCCTCAGTTTCCTCAACAATGAAATGGGATGCATTTCCTGGGGTCCTGGGAGTGTTAGTGGCACGGTTAGGATCTTGGTCAGGATGTGGGGAGGGGCTGGGGAGAAGACTGGGTCCAAACTCTGCTGACACAGAGGCTAGGAGCCCACTCTCACACCCACCACTTTCCACGGGCTTCTCAGCAACTTGTTCTTGGCCTTCTGGTTTGGTGACCACCATGGACGTGAGGGGGGTGACAAAGCTATAGTTGAGCGACAAGCACAGAGCTTGCTTCTCCAGGGCCTTCTTATCAGCATCGGACGTGGAAACCCTGCAAGAAGAGAGAATCAGAGGCCCAGCTGGTCACTAGATGCCTAGCTCCATTCTCCCTCCTTTCCAGACCCTTGGGGATGGGGGGTGGGGGGGTGGGATCCCTACTGGTAGAGTCTGGAGCTCAGATACCACACCATGAACCCCCTCTCTGCATACATAGGAGATGCCCAGGCCACCTGTGCTGTCCCACCCATGAGGATCTTGGGAAGGCAATGAGGCCATGTGTGGCCGCCCCAGCAGGCCTTAGGGGGTGCAGGCCACCCACATTCGCTCCAGCAGTTGATGGATGGTCAGGTACGCCCAGAGTCTCTCCATGAAGCCGTGGAAGATGTACTTGGGCTTTTGGAACTCCTCCTCCTGCTCTGCCACCTGGGACTCCACTTGGAAGGTGATGTTCTCTGTGGGCTGGAAAGAGGGGCCCAGCCAGGGGGCAGCAGTGAGGGCCTGAAGCCTGCACCTGGCCTGGTACATCTCAGCTTTCCATGAGAAACCTAGTTGGGACTGGGCAGGTTTCACGAATAGGCCGTGACAACTGCATTCCCTTAGAATATGTGGGGTACAGGGAGGGCGTTTAGGGCTGTAAGGGGCTCAGCCACAGAGCCTCCAAGGATGAGAAGGACGTGGATAGAAGGATAGAAACTATCACAGGTGCAAAGCCAGGAATCCAGATCACATGCAGCTTTTGGGAACAAGGAAAATGAGGATGGGATCTGGGCCCCAGGCCAGTGCAGAAACAGCAGCAAATGCAGTTTAAAACAGTAAGGGTCCCAAGAGGGCTCACCCCAAAGATGGAGACTCTGGGGACAGAGATACAAGTGCCTTCCCCAGCAGTCATGGCAGAGTTGGAAAGAAAATTAAGGCTTTGATAGGGTTTGGACCCCATGTACTCCATTAAGCTGCCCCTTGACCAAGCTGGTGCCCTTTGCTGAGACCAGGCACTGTGTCCAAAGATGTGCCCAAGTTTCAGGTGGACTGCTGCTTCCTTTCTTGAGGTGGGGCCTTCTGGTCTCAGGCTGACCTGGACAGCAGCCTGGGACGTGGGGCCTGTGGGCAGAGGAACTCCAGCCTTTCCTGTCACAATTCCCCGGAGGCCAAAAGGCTTTGTAATGTGGATCAGACGCCAAGCCTGCTGCTGGAGATGCCCTCCTCTGTCTCTCACCAGAGCCCGGCCTCCCACACCTTTGTCACCTGCAGGCCACCTACACAAATGCCCTATCCACCTGCACAGCTATCTATTTGATGGTTTTCCTTAAGTGAACTTTAACTAGACTAACACTCTCCACTTGGCCTCGTCCCAAGCAATACGACCAGGGAAGTTGTACATCTGAGGTTGAAGTTGCATTTCTCAGGAGATACATTAGGATAAATAGGTAGTTATTCAAACAAAGGCATGTGTGACACCCCCCCCCCCCCCCCCCCCCAGTCACCCTGGGTTCCGCACTTTGGGAACTCCCAGCCTCCAGGACAACACCAGCAGCTAACATGTGTGGAATGTTTACCCTGGGCCACATGTTAATCCCACGGCAGTCTCACAAGGTGGTAAGATGACCGATTCTCTTTTCACACGGTAGGAAACGGAGGCATGGGGAGATTATGTGGAATCTCCAGGCCTCACCCCTCGGACGTGGCAAAGAGGGGTGAAAGCTAGGCTTCTGGTGAGCTGCATGCACTGCTCATTGTGACACATGGTACTTCTCTGAGACTCAGCCCTGGTCGCAGAGTGCCCGCCTGCCATGCATGCCTGAAACATTCCTCCATCACTTCACCATCTGGTTCTACTGCCTCCTACTCATCCCACAGTGGCAGCTGAGTCCTGTCCAGGAAGCTCTCCCGGACCTACAGGTCAAGTTGGGTCTCCAATGCTGCTCCCAAGTCCCTGGGTTCATCCTCTCAGGGTCACCCCAGCCTCTGGGTCTTTCCTTGTGTGACGATTTACCCAATGCCTCTCCCATGAGTGCAGTATCCCTAGGGCCCAGGTAGGTCCTGGCTCACAGAAGGTGCTTAGATTCTCTTTGTGGAATGAGGGGTCCCCTGTGGCAGTGAGGCAGGGATAATTCGGCAAGGAGAGGGCACCATGTGGTGAACTGGGGTGATTCTTGTTTGGGCTGCATTAGGCCCTAGGGCACGTTGGACCTCAGTCTGCTCATCTGTGAAGTGGGAGGGATGCTAAAAGCAATCTCAGAGGGCTGGTGGAGGACAGAGGGGATGTCAAACCCGGTGCCCCAGGGCACAGCAGCAGCAACACAGACTGACTACGCTGTGCCTACCACATGCAGGTAAGCTCAGGTGCTCTCAGGAGAATCAGGACATTATCTCATTGAAATTCCACCACCAGTGAGATCCAAGATGGTGGCTTAGGTAAACACACATAAACTGCTGCCGTGCACAACAATTTTAAAACTACAACTAAAAGACAAAACGTCTATCACCCAGAACCATGGTACAGCTGGTTGAGTGGAAGCTCTACAACTAGACTGAAAGAGAAAGGTACATTTAGGGCACAAGCGCTGAAAACAGGTATGGGGGCATGCATGTGATACGGACTGGTGGTGGATCCCGGCTGGCAGAGGGCATTGCTTTCTTCAACCCAAAAAAGAGACAAGCTCCCACTCTTTCTGAAATCCAGTTTCTGGAAAGAAGCTGGACTGTCTGCCATCAGGTTGGAAAGTGAGGGTGGCTGGCTTGCAGAGCTGCGCACAAGAATAATTGTTTGATGTCCTGGGGCACGAGGTGTGGGGACGCAGTCAGAGACAGAGCCGGCTGACTGGCAGCCATTGCTGTTTGTGATGCCCTGAGACTCCACCCTGCACAATTTACACACCCAAGCTCCAAGCAGCGGCTTTTGCAAATGAATGGCTTTCTCTATTGCCGTTTAACCTATCAAACTTGCAACCTGGTGCAGACAGCTCCAAAGCCTCCAAGCTTCAAGCAAGGAGGAGAGGTCTGTGATTCTCGCTGTAGCTCCTGTAGGGTGGCCTCAGACAGTAGCTGAACTGCACACCATTGGAGATCCAGAAGCCAGTGTATCTAATGGTCAGTGTGAGACACCAAATTTCAACTCCTCTCATCATAAGTGACACATTCGGGAGGTGGACTAAGTGAGCACCATAGCCTCATTGAAACAAGGCCTGCACCATAATCGTGTCTCCAGCACAGTAGTTCTTCCATTATAGACACAGTGGGTCCTCACAGCCAATTGGTCTGGAGGTCAATTCCTCCCAGTGCACCAACAGCAATCAAGGCTTAACTACACCAAGACTTTGCACTTAGCTCACAAAGGGGTGTACCAAGAGCAACTACCATGGGTGATTGGGAAAGGTGAGCTACTGGCCCCTATAAGTCACCTACCACACAAAGCCACTCCATCAACACAGGGAGGCAACCAATATGCAGAGACAGAAGCATGTCGCGAATGGGAGAGAGAGAGAAAAGTAAACTATTGGAAGAAACAGAGTTCAGAATCACATTTATAAGGTTACTCAAGAATCTTCTAAAAACCGCTAAGAAACTTGAAGAAACCTTCAAGGACCCTAATGAGAATACCAAAAAAAATGAAAAAGGACCAGTCAGAAATTAAGCATATGCTGTCTGAAGTAAAGAATACACAGAAACTCAACTGTAGATCAATGTACCTCAAGAGTCAAACCAAAGATCTGGAATATGAGGAAACAAAAAACACCCAACCAGAGAGGCAGAAAGAAAGAAGAATCCAAAAGTGTGAGGATAGTGTAAGGAGCTTCTGGGATGGCTTTAAGCATACCAACATCTGGATTTTTAGGGTGCCAGAAGAAGAGAGAGAGCAGGATATTAAAGGCCCATTGAAAGAAATAATGACAGAAAACTTTCCCTACCTGGTGAAAGAAATGGACTTACAAGTCCAATAAGCACAGAGAATCTCAAACAAGAGGAGCCCAAAGAGGACCACACCAAGACACATCATAATTAAAATGCCAAGGGCAAAAGACAATGAGAGGATCTTGAAAGCAGCAAGAAGAAAAACAGTCACCTACAAGGGAATACCCATACCACTATTAGCTGATTTCTCAACAGAAACTATGCAGGCCAGAAGGGAGTGGCAAGAAGTAATCAAAGTGATGAATAACAAGAACCTACAACCAAGATTACTCTACCCAGCTATTATTCAGATTTGAAAGTCAGGTAAAGAGCTTCACAGATAAGAAAAAAGCTAAAGGAATTCATCACCACCAAACCAGGATTACATGAAATGCTAAAGGGTATTCTTTAAGAAGAGGAAGAAGAAAAAGGTAAAGGTAAAAACTATGAACAGTAAAAAGACATCAAATACATACCTACCAACAAGTGAATCTAAAAATCAAGTGAATAAAAAATCTGAAAACAGAATGGACTGGTGAATATAATAGAATCAAGGGCATAGAAAGGGACTGACAATTCTCAGGGGGAAGGGGGTCTGAGGGGTGCGGGAAGAGATTGGACAAAAACCTTACAAATGTGGATTGGAGAACCAAGATGGCGGCATAGGTAAACGCCTAACTGCAGCATCACACAACAATTTCAAAAAAATACAACTAAAATACAAAATGGACATTATCAAGAACTACAGGAAAGTTGACTGACTGAAAATTCTACAACGAGAAGGAAAGAGACAACCAGAAGGAAAATCAGAGGAGCTGTAAAAGCGCGTGTGGGGAGGGGACAGAGCCGGAGAGGAGGGGGAGGTTGAGTGCCTGGCTGGTATTCCCTAACGAAAAGGAGATAAAAGCTCTGGACTGTGCTGAACCCCAGTTCCAACAGCACTGAACTGGGTGAGACCCTGGGAACCCAGGCTCATACGGAGAGAGTTTGGGCTGTAAGGCGGAAACCCAGGGGAGCGGCGAAAGGAAGTCCCAGCGGCGAAAGGAAGTCCCAGAGGTTTCGCGTAGAGGACGGACTGTTGACTGTGCCGCTGGATTGCCCTAGCAGGAAGGAGACAAAAGCTCCAGACTGTTCTGAACCCCACTTCCAATCCCACTTCCAAGTGCACTGAACCCCAGTTACGGGCTCATTGGGGAAGAGCCTAGACTGTTTAGTAGCAGAGGAAACTCGAGGGCACCTTTCTCTCAGAGGTGCTTGTAGCGAGGACTGAAGGACACTGAGGAACACTGAGACTCAGGAACCTCATAGGGTGGGGCTGACAGTAAACCAAGGCTGTAGTCTCCACCCTGAAACTCCACCCCATCCAAGCTGAGCACAGAGGCTTTTGCAATATTCCAAGTCTATTCGAATAAGGCTGTCTCCGGCATAGACACAGCAGATCCTCACAGCCAATTGGCCTGGAGGTCAGTTTGCCCCAGTGATACCAACAATAATCAAGACTTACCTACAACAAGGCTGTACACACGGTCCACAAAGGGGGCAACAAGAGTGTCTACTTCAGATAACTAGGAGACTGACCCACTGAACCATATAGGACACCTTAGCACACAAAGTCACCCTACCAGTTCAGGGAAACTGTGAAAATGCCCAGACAAGGAAACAGATCACAAACGAAAGAAATGGAAGACAAAAAGCGACTGGATATAGAGTTCAAAAACCACGCTTATAAGGTTTTTCAAGAATTTCCTAGAAAAGGCCATAAAATAAACGAGACCTATGAAGATATGAAAAGGGATCAACTAGAAATAAAGAATGTATTGTCTGAAATAAAAAATATTATTCAGAGTCCTAAAAACAGAATGGAAGATCGCAAGAATCAAGTCAAAGATTTGGAACATAAGAGCCAGAGGACACACCTCCACAGAAGCAAAAGACAAGAGAATCCAGAAAGTTGAAGGTAATGTAAGAAGCTTCTGGGACAACTTCAAAGCGAACCAACATCAGAATTATGGGGGGTCCCAGAAGAAGAGAGAGAGCAAGATACCAAAAAACATACTGGAAGAAATAGTGACAGAAAACTTCCCCCACATGGTGAAAGAATTAGACCTACAAGTCCCGGAGCACACAGAACCCCAAACAAAAGGAATCTAAAGAGGACCATACCAAGACACATCATTTAAAATTCCAAGAGCAAAAGACAAAGAGAATATTAAAAGCAGCAAGAGAAAAGCAGATTGTTACCTATAAAGGAGCAACCATACAATTGTCAG